AGCCAGCTCGCCTATAGAGAAAGCGATATTGAAGGGCAGAAAACCGTGCCGTATTTTACACTGCTTAAGTAGTGACCACCTCTTGCACGAACGGTCAAGGTTTTTATTGAAGCGTAACTGAGGCCGGGCGTCCTCTTAAGAAATATCAAACTCTCTCGTATGAATGCGGGTGCCTTAAGACAAAATTAGGCAATTTAGTAAAAAAACGCCATTCATCAAAGGTGTTGCAAGGCTGGGCTCTGAGAAAAATTGAAAGGAGCTCAGTGCTCTGCGGTGCCAAAGACGCATATTTTGCGGTCATGCTTCGTTTCATGGCTCAAATTTGAAACTGCATTTCATGCCTTTTTTGCTTCTCAGAAGGCCCCCGTCGCATAGCTGTTTGACCTGTTTGTTATAGAGATAAAATTTGCTGGCCTAGTCGGACGGAAATATTTGGGGTTCGTTTTAAATTTTGAATACGTGAATTTTTTAGCCATATACTGTAGAGTTCTTGCAACTGCATATTCTTGTGGTTTGGGGCTTTCAAGCCTTAGCTGAAGGTGTGCAGAGTCACTTTAAAATTTCAAAAAGAGAGTATGACTAGTGACACGTCGACAGCAATTCTACTGCCACGTGCTACCTTGGTCAGTAGTTTCTTTTCCGCCTTTGAATTCGCTTGCAGAGGGGCTTCACGTTTGTCAAAACGTAATGCAGGTTACGTTCTAGCTTCTTTTTATCACATAGCAGAAGATAAAGTCACTGACATTTTCTATATCCATTTTCTATATAACGTTTGCGTGCCCGTATAGTACCCGAATTAATTTGAGATTACTTTACGTCAGACGTGTAGCGAGTAGCGGAGTAAAATAATTATCATAGTATTCTGCGGTTTGCAAGTTAGCACGATCTTTTCGTCTAACTTTGTCTTAAGAACGCTACTTTTGTGATTGTTTCTTCTTGATGTTCGCGAGCCATGAAGCACGATCGAGCTGAGAGCCGGAGCGTGAGCGTGAAGGTTCATCTTTAAATCAGAATTTATACAAAATTTATCCCTCTACTAAAAGAAAGGCTAAATATGACCTTGCGGATCAAAAAAAAAACATTGAAATCTTTGCTTCCAACGGAATTCGCATATCATTGCAAAGAGGACTGAAAATAGAACTGACTGACGTAAACGAAATATCGGCTTATGGTACAGTTGGAAGTGAAATTTAACATAAACTCTCACGTTTAGAGTTAATAAAAATTTCTATTCGTCATTTAACGAATACTGACTAGTTTACGTGATAACATCAAAAGCAATTCCATTCAATTCAATTTTATTCACACTTTTATAAAATATTTACATTATATATAGTAAGGTAGGAATACACTAATAAAGAAGAAGAAGGAAAAAGGGAAATTGATGGCTTGGATAGAAGTGTACGGTGGTCAGAGGAGCTTAGCTTTCGAGCTAACCACCGCTATATTATGAGTGGAGATACATAAAAAATGTGCGCTTGGTGCCATGGCAACTATGGACGATTATGTCAGTAGTCATTTTATGTGAAACAGTCATATTACATTGTCACTCGTGCTCCATTCTTTTAGGGTATTCAGCCGTGGATTTAATTTTGGCCCTTGGGAATGACTCAAAGCCTCAGTGTAGTGTATAACCCTTTTCCTTTCATAGTTAATTACTTTCATTTAACCGTATTAAACAGTGCCATTCAATCACAATACACACATCACTGAATTTTTCGTCTCATAAACATCCACACTAAAAGGAGCATAACGTTGCGTTAGGCATGCTATGAAGTGGCGCTGCCAAACTGAAGGAATGGATCAAGTCATTGGTTGATTCAGCTGTTGTGGACCAAATTCTTTGTATCTTTTAGCGATCGCTTTCGAAATTTGCTGGCAAACATTTGCCACAGCTTGCAGTTCTGGGCATGGTAAGGGGCGTGGTCCCGCTCTCCGGCCCATAAGAAGTATCTCGGCGCCTTTAAAGCCTGCTTTCTCGGTTTTTGACCACTGAGTAACTCGTGGATCCAGCATGATACCGCACCTCTTTAATTTATGGCGTTTTGTACTTTCAACATGTCAAATTCTTTATTATAATTTTTACCATAGAGATGAATCTTGTGCTTTTGGCAAGTGGGAGCCCCCACTCATCCAGACCATGAGATAAGAGGGAGGCCCGCCCTTGAAAACAATTTTTTTTCTCTACCTTACGGGCTTAAATTTTGCCTCTAAAAAGAAAGTGGGGCCCGTTTCATCAAGATCCTTCCAAAGGCAGCACCATAACAGCACCAGTTTAGCTCATCACCAAACATTGGGACCAAGTTCTTCCGCTCTAACGTTCGAAAGTAAAAGGGGCGGGCACTCCGCTTTTGCAATCTAAGAAGCCTTTCAAGGCTGGATTTGTCAGCTTAAGACTAGCCAATGTCACAATAATATTAAATACAGAGGCTGAATAGGCGTCTTATGCAAGATTTCAAAGGTTTCTTGAGAAGAACTTTCTGATCCTTCCAAGGAGACCAAGTCTCTTAGAACTTTTGAAGCAAAACAGTCTGTATAAATTAACTATCCTTACCAACGTAGAAAAGAGCAGAATCATCGCTGGAGCTTCAAGCACTAATTTACTTCGATAGATACGACGGGAAAGATAATTTTTTCTGTCCAAATTGTTTATATCTCTGCGTGGTTTTATCTATGGTGACGAAATTTTGGCACTGTTATTGTAGCTCATAACGTGGTCTGCGTTTGCAATCTCGCGTTTGTAGTTTCTTTTGTGTAAAACCGCGCAATCTTCGTTGACGTCGTTGTTTACATTTTTCCTCATTAGCACACCACTTAACTCACAGAATCCGTGGCCGTATATATGAACTAAATGCAAAAGTTGAAAGAGCTAATTAAGTTGAGCAATTTGTTCCATTATCAGCTACTTGCAAGCAGTATTGAAGGAAATATCAGCCATCAAAAACTGCGAAATTGCTGTTTGGCAAAAAAGTTAATGAGCCATACATTCTCTGTGAAATTTCGAGTTTTTAGAAGAGAATTTCTCCGAAACCATTCAGTGTATAGGGCTCAAATTTTCAGAGATAACTGAAATTGTTATGCCCTTTCAATATTCAGGGTTTTATTTTATTAGCGTGATCAGATAGTGATAAGCATATATTAATGAGGCAAAAATTGTAAACAAAAAGTCGCTTATATGCATTCTCTCATGCTGCAAAAATAATAAATAAAAGCGGCCCTAGAACAGACCCTTGGGGAAAGTTTGGCGGGAAGGTCTTGACTGACTTTTAAATTGCACCTTGGAGAGAAATGCTTCGAACGGTTGTTATCACCTTTCCACAGCATGCTGCTATCTGAAAAGTTTACAGGAGGAGGAATAATTGTGATATTTACGGTGACTTAGTTCGCTGAGGAAAAACTATAATGCTGTCTTGCTTATGGCACGGTTAAAGCCCCGCTGGCCCGGTTAACGTGATTAACTGGAATATTTTAAGCCCGGCAAAGATTCCTCCCGATACTGGTTGCGCGAAATCAAATGACCGGATTGGCTTAGTAATATAATCGAAAAGTTGGTTCTTGATGCGTTTGGAAGACGCGATGAATCTCAACAAATCTAACCACCCCATTTTAACTGCTCCCCTAGTTTTGCAAGGATTCTGCTTTTTGTTTCAACTTGTATGGACTCACCCTGTATGCAGATCCTTCTTTTGCCTTCTTCTTAATCGAGAAAGAACGGGAAGATCCGCCTGAATCGCGTCAAGGCTTTGAAATCACCTTAGCCCGAACTACTGGACTAGTCAGTCTGGTCAAACTGGTTTTTCGAGCGCGAGCATCCATTTATTGATAAACCGATGACCATAACTGAGCCCCTTGTACCAAGCGCATGGTTATTTTTCTGTTCGCCACTGAAGAAGGTTTGCCTTTGAAACCGAAATGTTGGGCAAAATTTTTTAAATATATCTAACTAACTGATTTTTTGAAAACCACCTAACAAAACTTTCAGCGATTTGCGTGAAAAGGCGTCAAAAGACAGGTTTTTAAAGCCCGATAAGGGTTCGACAAGCTCCAAAATCACACTAACGAAGGAAAAGCAAAGGCGAAAAAGAAAGAGAGAGGAGGAAGAAAGGAAGAGAAGAGAAAAAAACAGTGGTTGCACTCGTAGTTTTTATAATGGCTACGTTGGAGATAGTTCTTGGCCGAAAAAAAACTGTTGGACGGAAGAAACGGTCCATTTGGCGTTAACGTTTTCAAAAATCCGGGTAGACTATTTTTTGTTTTATTCTTTTGTTACTTCTTCATTACCTTGCCGTAAGGATCAGTTTGCTGTTTTATATTTTCTACAAGTTATTATTTATTACAATCGGTAGAGTGATCAAACCAAAAAAAATTGTAGGCGCGGACCTACAGGTCTATGGCTAAATGCCCCTGACTAAATGGGTAATGAATCTTTCAACTTTCGTGTTACATCTGCTGGTTCTGATTACATGTGCAGAACATGCTTGTATTTTTTTATTGGCTTTAAAGTATTTTATTTTAATTTCGCAAATTTATTTCGTTTGACCGTGGTCAATTTGGAATACACAACCTTATGCTAATAATACAGTTATTATTATCTCTGATTTGAACTTTCTTTTTTGCATTTATTTCTTTTATTTACCTTAAATTTACAGTTACTGTTATGTATATGAAGTTAATCGTCCTTATTTCTTCAATAATCAAATAATGATTACATATTTCTACGGTTCATTGCCATAAATTGTGTATAACACTTTGAACAAGGGTTTACAAGAGAAGCTTTGAGTATAGCTATAGCTTTGATTACATATTTCCACGATATAACACTTTGAACATAATCATGTTTTCAAAAGTACACGTATAGTTCCATCTCTAAGGTTGAGTTTGGAAAATTCTTTCACGCAGGCAGAAAATTGTTGGAGAATAATGGTTTACAAGGTTTTTCCACACTCTCCACCCCTTGTCTTCCAAAACAAATGATAGGGATGATGATGATGATGATGATGATGATGATGGTAATGATGATGACGATAATGATGATGATGGTGACGATGACGATGACGATGTTACGGTAATCGGGAGCTTCCTTGTGCGAGCGAGCGGTGAGGGTGGGCTAATATATAATATGCCTAATAAATTGAAGATTTATAAATCGTCGTCTAAACACCACGCCTTTGTTACTAAAAACCCTGCGTACATGGATAATCATTAAAAACAATCTGCTTTTAGCTGTCGGTGTTCGGCATCAAAATTATCAGCGAGGAAACCGTAATAGTAAGAACAAAAACAACGAAAAAGAAATTGTCAATTATGTTCACGACAATGTGCCATTCCAGTTTTCTTCTGTCTTCAGATAACGACTTATCGATGAACTTGGTCACTTTATCCATGCCCGCGACTTTTATTTCTTTCTCGACCATTTTCACGTTCTTAATTTCGGTCTGCGAAACACCGGTCATAGCAATTTTATCTTCTTCTGGTGCGACTTGGTTTTCTTTCAAATAACATGTGCTGAGTTTAATTTCTCTGTTGTATTCCTGTTGTTTTCTTTTGAGTCTCTTCACCGAGCTCCTGCTCAAAACAGGTCCCATCAAGTCAAACAGGATATACCGGCACCAACCGGTTAGCTCCATTTTAGGGTGATGGTGTTCAAGGTTGAGACAGAGACACGTGCACAGGAGACCCAAGGAAATCACCACCATGACCACAGAGAAGTAAGTGCTGATAAGTGGGGTGCCTTCGGATGTGGAGGGTATGGCTTCCACCACTACAATCATAAATACAGTCATTCCCAATAGAATAGTGATCATCAGCGAGATTCTTTCGCCCGTTTCCGGCGGAAACAGAAACGCTGTTGCTGTGAGAAGTGCCAAAACAATACAAGGAACAACCAAGTTGTTTATGTAAAACAAGGTTCGTCGTTGGATTTTGATTTCGAACGTGAGATCAAGGTAAGGTTCTGGGCAACAACTATAGTAAAGAACGTTTCTCTTCCCCTCAGCCGACAGTAGGTTCCATTCTCCATTCCGAGTGAACGAGCTTAGATCTGCCCTTGGAGCATCTCCATAGAAAACGATGTCAAGTTTTAACCCGTCAAATGTCCACGAGCCGAACTGGAGTTTGCAAGTTTGTGTATCCCAAGGAAAATATCGGACATTGATTTTGCAGGAGCTTTGGATGAGATTAGGAGAGAACCACGTGGCTGTTCCATCACTGCTGACGATAACTTTGGTGTCGAATAGGTACTGTTCACCGTGATCTCCTTCTTCGTTGACGCTGTGGGAAATAATAATATATAGATTTAGCCGATCCTAATAGTGGAGCACCCGTTACAAACTAACCGCGAACTCGAAACAATAATCTTCTAACCAATGCAAAGAAGTTACAAATCAACTCTTATGAGTTTTCGCTTTGAAAGAAAAAAATGCCAATATAAGCATACAATATTAATAGTAAAAATACCTCGTATTCTACTAAAATAATTGCTTCTTTGAATCCGGATGACCAGCTTCTGCCTTCGACTTCCAAAAAATGCTCTTTTGGACACGGAATGAGCAGCCCTCAGCCTTACCTAACCTTACCTTGCATGTCTGCAGCGCGTATTCGACAATATACAATAGACATGTGCGTTTCCTAACCTGTTATAAAGAATAATGTCTGGCTTCCAAACCAAATTAGGACTGATGTTGATGGACTTAAGTCCATTGTACTTTGCAGGATCCCAAGACAACCACGGATCGTGCCATTGCTGCAATGATTAACAATAAAAAGTTAAGAGTTATAACTGAGCCACGGTGCGCCAACTGGTTGGATGGTATAAGGCGCCTTTATGCGACCCTCGCACCAACCCCTTAAATGGAATACTAGTCCGTGACAACGCCTTGCCCCAGATGTAAAGGAAGGGTACGAAAATATAGTTTGTTGAAGAGGAATCGTAGAATCCCGTTACTAAGTTCGCCTGGCAAAAGTGTCCACCTCTAAAATTGCCTCTCACGCAGATGGCCATTTAATGAGGCCTTTTTTATTACTAAAGGTAGAGTGATCTATCTATGACAAGGTTTGACCCATAACTTTTTCGGTTTTATGACCATGGCTAGATAATCTTTGGAAAACTCTTGGTTATTATTCAGCAATAATATTTGAAAATTCGATTTGACTGGAATAAATAGATTATTGCAAAACTGATTTCAATGAATCCCACTTAAATTCAAGAAAATCGCATGCCGACAAATATTTTGCAGTATTTTTGAGGTAAATTTCTGAGATCGGCTTTTATCGATACATATCCCAAATCAGTTCCAGAGAAACGACGAAAGCTATGTAATTTACGATTTAATTGTCTGTTAGCTTCCAAGTTTACTTGACCAACCTGTCTTATCCACACGTTACTTGTTAAAACTTGATTTTTCTCATCCTAAGAAAGATAAAAGAGGGTATTTACATTGGGAATACTTTCTCTGATCATTCATTTTTCTCCTTTGTGTTTTGTGATTTATTTATATTTAAACGACGGTACATTTACGGCAGTTAAATGGGATACAGAGTTCTGAACTAGTTACTTAAAAGGGGTATTGTTTGTCAACAGAACTACAAAAGGGATACCTTCTATGTTAAAAATGGCATGTAAAAGGGGAGGGATTGGACCTCGGGGGGCGGAGACTCGCCGTATAAAAACTTCTTGAGTGCCCCCTCCCCACGGTGTTCGACAACCCGACCATTATAGAGGTCAATAGTATTTTTCGTGTACATATACATATTTATAAAATAAATAAGATAGTACGCGCGTATGGTTTATTGTGCCGGTAAACCCATAGAAAGTGTGGTCTATATTTTAGAGAAGGCGGGAACGTCTTTGAGTAGGGGTGCTAATTCTTTACAGTTAATTTACACTTTGCCTTTGAACAGCAAATGCATCAACAAGAGATGTTTTTGTTTCATTGCAGTAAAAATGCCTCCTAGGGCTTCACTAAATTAGATTCATTTGATCGACCTACAAAACAGGAAAGTCACGCAGATAACACACAGTAAAGCTTGTAAGAATAATAACCAGGAAACGACATTTAATTAAAAAAAAAAAAAACGGAAAGTATGACTAAATTGATCATAAATTAGGGCTGGCACCCACCGGCGAAACAAATTGATTACGGCCATTCTATTCAGTTATTTTTTCTGTTATTTTTGTGTACGTAAATGACAGCACTCTTTCGATTATTTTTGATAAAATATGTTTTAGTCCAAAAAAGGGACCTTCTTCTTGCCTGCGCTGAATATATTTTTGCAACTAGTTAAGGCAAAAGTGTTTTCATTAAGGCAACACCTGAAGCTACATACAGGTGAAACAGAAAGGTTTTTAATTTAAGGATTCGAATGAATAAGTTAAGAGTCTGGAACAAGCCTAAAGTTCAAAATGCGTAACTCTCATAGCGAGGCTTTCCAAAACAGGTGAAAATCTAGGAAACACGGCCGCCAAAGTGTAATTTAATGATTGATGGGTGTGGTCAAATAGCTCAGGCATTTTGCTTTATTTTTCTGAGTTTTAATTGGGCATGAAGTAGGAACATGGGCAAGAATGTATACAGAGATTGGTTAGTAACCTGGATAGATTTTGCTAAGATAATGAGATTCTTTGCGTTAAAATGCTTCGCTTCCGATTAAGATTGTTTTTAAAAAACGTCGCCAAAAAGTCTACAGTTTTTATGTTTCTCAAAACAACCAATAAACCACCCACAACGCCAAAATAAAGGTTTGCCATGATGGAGACACCCAATACATAGTTTCTATTGAAAGGATTCTTTTGGTAACTTCCAACGTATTTGGTAAATCTACAACATATTGGTAAAGTATCAAGCTAACTAGCAGCGGGGTTACTTTTGCCAATTTCTCTTCTCAGATCGCAGTCAAAGTCATTTAAGCAAATATAGAAGGAAGGAAGGTGGCGGTAGAGAGGGGGGGGGGGGGGGGGGGGAAGAAAAAGAAGCATCCGAATAGTACATTGAGTTTTAAAATTTTTCTAGGTATGCCTCAACAACGCTGACTTCTTAATTTGAGGCAGTCGAATAGTGGAATGTGAAAAACAACAATTCTAAATTATAAAGCAAGATCACTGCCACTGAAACACATGTTTAGGTGACTGAATATATTTCTATCATTTTTAAACATAATCGTCTCGCCGCTGGTACTCTTTTTTACTACCAAAGTTACAAATAACTATAAACAAGAGAGGATCCTCTCTTGCTATAAATAAGGAAAACACCATGATACTAGCAAACAAGCAAACTTTGGAAAAGGATAGCCTGGTTGCCTAAATACTCATGACAACTTCCTGACTTCTAGCTGTTGATTGTAAACCGGGATTTGAGTGAGGTTGAACGAAGAAGCAGACACTTACCAAACTGTGAAGGTTACTGTATGCTATTCCAAACTTCACCAAAACAGGTTCCGACAGGTTCAAGACTGGTCTTCCTTCAGAGTCGTAATTTTTAAACAAAGCCTTGATGAGAGTTTGCTCGATCTTTGTTTGATTTGTCTGAGCGTGAGAGCCTTCGAGGGAAAATTAACAACAATTAAAATTTCAGTCAGGATTCAGTTCAGTAACAGCAATTTTTCAAGCCAAAATAAGGAGGTCGAAATAAAGAACCTCCATTTTATTTTTCAAGCTACTAGACTGAAAAAGTTAAAATATGAAAATTTTGTCCACGTGCAGATGCATACAATTCGTCTGGACTGATACAATATAGTAGTTCCTTTGGAGTTTGCAGTCCAAGTGTAAGATGTGACGAAGAGGCTGGAGGAAACGAACCACAGTTCCTCAAATGTTCGCCCCCCACGACCGTACTTCCAATTTAAGAAGCAATAGCAATCCCTTCAGGACCGTCAAGTGCATCACGAGCAACCCAACGAGTGAACAGAATAAGGAAATCCTCTGTAGTTGACTTTCCAAATCAAATCTCCTGGCCGGTACGTTCATGTTGTACTATCCCTATTTGACAAATGACCTTGGATTTTCGTTGAATTTTGGGGTTTACCTCGGTGAAAGAACCTTTTTCTTTGTTTTCCACTTTTTTTTCTAGTTTCTATTGTGTTGACTTCTTTATTTTGTTTGTTTTACGTCACTTGTGAGTTAAACAATTTTTTGCCCTGAGGATGAGCTGAAGTTTGCGGATTGTTAGAGCAACTTTTAAGTTTATAATACTAGAAAAAAATGCGTTTCATCAATCTCGAACTGAGAGAAAGGATAACAGAGCAGCGCCTGAAATGAGTGCCTGCCACAATTCAGGAGCAAACAAGAATTGAAGTGTAGTAAAATTAGCCTGTACAACAGGCGCTTTGTAAGCCAAAAGAGGCGAACGCGGCATTTTGCGCGAAACGAGCGGAAGGCGCGAGACAAGGGGAGAATAAAAAAATCGTGCTCGTCTCGAGCTTCGCGCAAAATGTCGCGTTCGCCTCACTTGGCTCGCAAAGCGCCTGTTATGCAGGCTAATGAGTGCCTGCCACAATTCGGGAGCAAACAAGAATTGAAGTGCAGTTAAATGGCAACTAAATCCTAACACATGAACAGAATCATGAACATTTATATGTTAAATGATGTTTATGCGTTGTCCTAATTCCAATTCGACCAGGAATCAGGTAGACGAAGAACCACTATGTGGATGTGCTACCTCCAAATCGTTATTTAATTATTTATTTTATTTTATGTATTTTTTTATACAGGGATACAGTGTGGGAACCCTCCTTATTCTCGTACGTTGCATGAAACATAGTGCAGTTTATAAGCTTGAAAATAGACGCTGCGACAGACTTATATTTATACTAATACTCTGGAACAGGAAAACTAAACATTGCTGACACGGGCCTGTATTAAACGTCGGACATCACATAAGCGGAACCTAACTATTGTTCTTGTTCATCAGTGTTTAGGTTCGTCATATGTGATAGTTTTACGCGGTTCTCATTCACCGTTGCGCTTGCGGTCAAACGCACGGATAACTTCTTGTGCGACTGACTTGCGTTTTAAAGCGCGTATTCAACAACAGTACCCATCGACCGTCTCCTCCAAAATACATTAAAACACTTTTTAGACTATCCAGAGTACTTTTAGATCTTTAGAAATGCATTCCAAGCGGCGCTATAAAATTTCTGTCTGGTTGGTCATCCTAGGGGAACTTAAGTCTTTTCGATGTTACAAGGGCTTCAGTATTAGTTTCCCGAAAATTTAAAATGCAAATTATCGTTTTACGAAAGTGAGAATTTTTCTGATTCCTCTCTCCATCACATTTTTTAATTCGAAAATTTTAGGTTTCCTTTTTTTGTATGAAAAATAGCCAAACCTGAGTAATGAAACGTGAAAAACTAAACTTCATAAAGTCGTAAGGAAAAGTATTAGATAAGCTTCGAAAATTAAACATGAATGGAAAGGTCTTCCAGAAATTTTAAGCATTTTTCAAGCAATAGAAAATTCTAGGCCATATTTGCTCCTCCGAACGGATATTTTACAGAAAACAGTCGTTGGGTGCTCCTGATTCAAGGTGAAAACGATCAGTGATAAAGATAACCGATATCGCGCACGGAAAAATACAGTAATGACTGCCCGTCAAGAAATTAACTAATTTCTATATCAGCCCTTTCAACCATGGCCAAACATTCAATCTCTTTTATTGCTTTTAAATTTATTCGAAGTTTCGGTAAATTACTTTGAACCGGCAGGACCCTAGTAAACTCAATTCGTTGTCTGTACTCTGGGCCAGAATGCTCACGATTTCTCACGAATCTTATTCTCAATGTGCGTTAACGCTAGACAGATGTTTTAATCTTACACAACAGAACCCTTATCCAGGATTAAAACAGTAAACCTTTAATACGCTTACTATATCCTAAATTCCCAAAACAGTTTTTTAAAGGTTGATTTAATTCTAGGAAGGAGATGGATAAAAAAAGCGAGCTACAATTAATTTTTTATAAAAATTTTTGTTTCCTAGCAACCCTCTAGTAACGTCAAAACAACTTGCCAAAAGGCTCGTTTGAATTGCATCTTCAAAGCTGTACCGCTTTGTGAAGGAAATAAAATCTGTCGTGTTTTAATTAAAGGAGAAATGATCATCAGAAGCAGTCTAAACCATCACATGTACGCTGGTTTCTCTATCAGATAACTCGCAAAACGGTCCGGTTTAAGCGATATTGATCCTGTCTCCGAGTAAAAATGCTGGTGGAAGATCATTTCAATGGCCAATATAACACAAGGCAGCCATGCGAGACAGTAGTTTTACCTACACTGAATTATTCGCAAAATATACATTGAATGTAATAGTCTTGAGAGAACAGTTTAAAAGAAGGCATATAAAAAGCAAATTTGTCCATGGGGGTATGGTCCTCCAAGTGACAGGCTGTTCGCGAGGATTTACTACCCTTCCTACAGCTGTTAGCAGAAGAATTCTCGCGGAGAATAGTAGTCTTGATACAAAGCTAACCTGTAGAGTTTTATTAAATGAGTTGTTCATATACTTCAACTGTTGGATCTTGATGTTTGCCGTCTTCTTTTGAATATATAATACCCTCAGAAAAAAGAGAAAGTTTTTTTGTATTGAATTTATGTTGGGTAGGGTTTTGAACTGTTAAACGAGCCATTACGTAACTAAATTTTAACACCTCTTTAGCACCTCAAGACAATGATACAGCGGAATTGAGACAACGGAGACTACATATAAAGTAACAAATGGCGAAGCTTTTACATTATCAGTAAAACGGTGTCCAAACCTTTCAAGACATTGCGGAAAATGGTGACAGGTTGTTTAAGCAAGTAAAGAGGAAAAAATTGCTACCAGTCTTAACACCTGGCACATTCAAGTCTTGAACTTTAATTCCTTGCAAAATTGTCTTCCTTAATTCTTGCGTTGCTTTCTATTCGCGATTATGTGTCTAAAGCTGAAAAATTTAAGTGCTTTCATCAATACTGAGCGTTACGGTATATTCGCACTCACAAATATAGGTACATGTACAATATATTTTTCTGCGTATGAATATTTCTCGAAACATTTCAATACTGGAAATGGCCTACAAGATGTTGGCAAACAGGTTTCCCTATAACAACATAAGTACTCATAATGTACATATAGTATGTAAACCAAAGGATCACACGGGCCTTAGTACTCTAACTAAGTCTACTCATGTGATTTTATCAAATTACTTACTTTCAAATCTCAAAGAAGCTAACACCACCACCAGCAAGATGAACATCAGACAAGGACGTCTCGCGCTAGATATGTCGGGTTTCATCTTTTCATAGTGTCCCGCCGACTTCTTGCTGCAAAGACTGCTCCAGCTGTTTACGGATCTGTGGATGAAAACAGCAGATTATAAGTTGTAATCTTAGGCTCCAGGCGGCAATAGGTACACCAAAAACCTCAAAAAATAAACCAAACACTTGCCTCTAAATTCTATTTGTGCTCGTCGCAAACGCTAGGGGCAAAGACAGTGAAAAGAAGCTTTCTGTAATCAACTTGTAAAAGGATCAGGCACAAACAGATCAGCATAAGATATGATCTTCGTGATAAACAGCTCCAATATGAAGTCCTCAATAAATATACTTCCTCGTTAAGAGAAATTTTGTAGCGACGTTTTTAGAGTCCCTCTTTCTCACTGTTGCCCTTAGGTCGCAAGAGAGATTCTTTGTAAACCACCTATGTCGTGGTTTAAATAAACTTGTGTTCTTTTTGGCGCGATTATCTTGGTTCCTTTACGAAATGTAAATTACTAGAGCGTAAACTTCTTCAAATAACTACGCATTAGCATTTTGAAAAGACTTTGGTGAGATTAAATAATTTAATTTGAATTAATCATCCCCAATCATCAGTCTTTGCTTGCCACGCATCACTGAGACAACTGTCAGATAAAAGAAATCATATTTGTAGAACGCGAGAGAAAACCTCCAACCATCTAAACCATTTTCAAGATATATACCTGGAAGTATAAAAGTTTACTAACAGAAGGGATTTTGTTTACATTTGCCCGACCGCTAGGGAACTAATTGCAGAGATGTCTATTGTTTGACTTCCCTTACATTTACGTAAGTAAATTCAATTTTAAGATAACTGCGCGCAATGCAAGGTTGATTACGAAGTGTTTTTTAATTACCACTGCCAATAAGAAAGATCTATTTTATCGCGGACAAATTGCATGTTGTTCGAATTGATGAATAAATATGAAATATGCGAAAAAAGAAAGCCGAGGATGATCACCAACCGATGGTGAACAAGGGTACTTTTGTGAAATTTTATCAAAACTTTGTTTCTAAACCAAAATTAAACAAAAAACACCCCCATATTTAGGTTGGTCAATGAAATGTCAACAAACCTAAGTCTTAATTAATTACTTCGCCAACAAAGCATTAGGTTAACAATAACTTTACAGTTGTCGAGAATTTGGCCCACCCCATTTGACACAAGACAAAAAACGAAGCAATAGTTTTGATTTCTGCACTGCTAAACAATTAATCATCTCCTCGAATCTCTCAATAGCTTGACTGTCAAGTGACAAATTTTGGGACCCAACTCCATACAGACAGAGTGTCCAAAAAAGCAGAGAGAAGAAACATTATTCGATACTCAAATTGAGTGTCGGATTCGTTATCTGTTTGTGTATTATCATTAAACTCGAACCTCCCGTAAGCAGCCACCCAAAAACTTGGTGGTTGCTTACGGAAGGTGGTCGTTTACAAGAATAGAACCACAGGAGGTTTCGTCTGTGAGGTCCGGACACATCTACTTTATGGAAGATAATTTTTTGCATGCAATTGCTTAGTTACGATATGTGTTGTTCCATGTTGTCGCTAAAAGTTCTTATATTGTAAGTAGCATAGTACACACAGCGAAAATAGAGATCAGACCGTGAGTCAAGAGGTTAAAAAAAATGAAAAATTTTTATTCCATCAACCCGAAACGTTGTCGCGGTCGCTTATATACACGAGGTGGTCGTTTCAGAACGTTTCCATTTTCTGACACGAGGTGCTCGCTAACGAGAGCTTCCAACTACAGGGCTTTGACTGGGAAAAATGTGGTGTTTTGGATGTTTGTGGCTTATGGCAGGTGGTCGCTTACGGGAGGTGGTCGCACACGGAGCCATAGATCTAAAAATAAACGTTTGATTTCCAAAACTACTGAACGGGCTACGGAGCGGTAGACTGAGAGTTAGGCCCTGCTATTGCTCTTGCCAGCGAACTAGTTTCTTTTCATTCTGACTTGTTTACCCATTGCATACTCGAAATCAGTATTGAGAATTAATTTTACGGTTAATTCGAATGTTATAAGTAGGGTTTGAATAGGAAGGAAGCCGGCGAAAATGTGTCACAGAACGAAAGTAAAGTAAGAGATTTATTGCGATTCCCCGGTCAAAGCAAGTTAGAAGTGCGACAATGCCTATTTGTTTAGCTCTTGCGTGCACTGATAACAGTGGCCGATCCAGACCTTCAGATAGGGGGGGGGGGGGGGGGGGGGCCCCACCCCCCTGGGGAAGAGGGGGGGGGACCAGCCCCCACAAATTTTTTTGGCCCCGTTGGCCCGCGTGTTGGGCAAAAAAAAAAGGGGGGGGGCCGCCCCCGGGCCCTCCCCCCCAGCCACCACGCAGGGAGCACTTGGAAAAGAGGAAGACGAGGAAAAAACGAGAAAAAAAAAAAAGAAAAAAATATATATGACTTTTGGGCTCCGCCGAAAAAAAGAAGTGAAACGTGGCATGTGTTTTTTTTTTTGCGTGTGTGGGGGGGAGGAGGGGGGGGGGACACCGCAGCCTGAGGGGGGGGGGGGGGGGGGGGGGGCGGTCATCCAGACCCTGAGATAAGGTGGGGAGAGCAGCCTCCAAAAAATTTTTTTGGGCCCTTCGGGCTTCAGTTTGGTCTAAAAATAAGGGGCGGAAGGGCCCCCCGGGTCTCTCCCCTGGATCCGCCACTGGATAAGCTTGCACAGTTTTGCTAAGTCTTCTTGGCCCACCAACTCCAAGCTCAAAACTTCGCCATTTTTTTTTTAACCGCATGCAAGTCAACGTACCTCTACTACTACAAAAAACAAAAGCTATAATTAAGAGTTTTTGAGACGCAGGACAACCGAATTGGGATCGCACTGGGCCACGCAATAGACAATTTTTTGTGTCTTATATGTTCGGTCAAACACAGGGCACCCTAAACATACCCAGTACACATACAGAAAATACAGCGTACTGTAGGAGTTGTGTTCTCAATGGACGTGAGAAAACTCGCGGCATGTGCGACAGATTGGCTTTGGGCAAGTGCAGGCTGATTTTCACTAGCGGCGGAGACGGAGTCGTATTCAGAAGCGTGGTGCATTGCAATCTAGTTGAAAGAGCGTTATAATTACGCTTACGACTCCGTCGCTTACGTGGTTCGTCGAAGTCGCAAGCCCAAGCGGAAGATCTCTACCAATCACAAAGCGTGGGAACGATTATTGCGATTGGTTTATCTTTCTGCTTCCGACTCCAACAGTCTGGTTTTCACCAGATCATAAGCGATGGGGTCATAAGCAGATACGGAAGAAAATGGAAACGTTCTTCTTCCGACTCCAATTCTGTTGTGCTTATGACTCAGCTAGCGCTCTTTCGACCCCGCTTACAAGTCCGATTCAGTCGCCTGCGAAAACTAGCCCTAAAAGTTCGTCTTTATATCAACTAAAGACATCCAAGGCGTAATGCAAAAGCAGACTTTAAGTTTCTACGAGGTTTATTTACAGGCACAATTTAATTTTCTTGCTACAAATTTTCAGCCCAGCCTACACAAGTCACTAACGAGCTTAGGTTCGTGATTAGAAAGAAAAGACACCTCCTTTGTTAATCGAGAATTGACATCTGAAATGAAGACAAGATTAAAAAATTAATCAAATCTGCTTTGAGTGGAACTCCCACATTCGTAAGTGTGGAGGTGGAACGGGAAAACGGTGGCCTCAGGCAAAGACCCCCAAGCATAGAACACTGTGACCAACTTTAAATGACAGGAAGGCGATTAGAACGGTCTTCAATGAAGTTCTCAAACTGATCTAGCAATTACTACAGCCTTGCACCTCCATGGTTTTTTGTTGGCTAATAAATCAGCGCTTCGTTTTATTGTAATCGCTTGCGACTGTTGTGGATTGATGAAACCAACAAAGTGACTTTGGTTTACGACATGATAGACAGCAGCTCATTTTGGACTAAAACTGATATACAATTTGCTACAGTAGATAGTGTACGGTCCTCTATTTTGCAGTATCTTCATTTTCTCATGAACGCACGAACTTTCACAAGAGCCAAAGCGTAGGGGGGCGATGAGGATTGGGGAGGGGGGAGGAGCTGGTAAGCGAGAAGAGATAGAATCCTGACTATCTAATCTCTTCTTTTGCAACATAAGGCCTGAGTTATCATGATTACTGCTATTAATTGGATAGTACCTTGAGATAGCAGGCCTCTCTTTCTGTAAAACTGAAGACAGGATGCAAGTTCTTCTTGAGAATAACGAGGCACCTGAACATCATTGAAATCCCCAACTGCTGATAAACCGCCCTGATGAAATTTAGATCAGTAATTAGCAGTGTAGCCATGGCGCTGTTTTGACATTTCTATTTTGCCTACAAATTTTTTAGTGCCTGATGGGTGCCATATAATTCAGAAACAATAAATTCCGTGATGTTTTGGAAGCAGGCTTTGTGCAGCATCAGAAAAGTAAAAATGAAACCTTCCCCGTCCAGAGAGGGAACATGTTCTTCTAAGTTGAATCTGTGTTCGAAATTCCGTGAAAAGACCATTCCAATGCAGAAACCTCTTGAGCAGTACTGTCGCATGGTTTAATTTGCTTGTTTGTTTGCTAAAAAACCTCTGAATCGTGTTCTTCAGCTTCGACTATTGTAATTGTAGGGATTATCTTGGGTGCCTCGCCGATGGTGGACGAGAAGATCTCTGGCATCCCGGGTATGTAAGAAGACGAAAGTTAAAATCTCTCATGCAAAAGTGTAAGGGCCTGTTTACACGGAGGTCGGGAACCCCAGCCCTCCTCAACCTAGAGTCCCTCAACTCCATGTAAACAGGCCCTAACTCCGCGTCCAAAATTATCTGAAATTTTTAAAACTTGTTCTCCATTTTGTGTGACCCACCAAAACACATCGCAAAGATGTCAAATCGTTCAAATCAAGCCGTAGCTTGGCTTGTTACTTAAAAGCATGAAACTAAACAAGGCGAGAAAGAGGTGCAAGATTTTCAAGCAAGTGCATAGGGTAGCAACGCCAATGCAAAGTATTCAACAAACTTCTTTGGCATCAGATGAAAATCGCTTTATTAGAAATATAGAATGAATTGATAGGATTTTGTGTGTCACCTCTTCAAGAAGATCTGCAATCTCGCAAGACTTTGTGTAGGTTCTTTCCATTCCTGTGCGCGATAACGCAAACACCATTGCTCCGCGTTTCTGCAAGGGATTAAATATTAGAATGAATGAAGACGAAGACTCAAAAGAACGTGATGCGTATTAGACTGACAGCTGAAACTCAGGCTGATACCAGAGTTGCATAAGACTTCAGGTAACTACTGGTATCTCAAAAACAAACAAGCATTTTGTCTGGGCTGAACGACTAACCTTTTTCGTAGGAAAAAGATTAAGCTTAGCAACTTTTAAAAAAATGCGTTTGGGTTACTTACCAAACCTTCAGAAGGATCTAACAGTTCTGTAAAGTGATGCACTAAACTAAGCCTCTCGGGTTTTATCTGAAATCAATCAATCAAACAAACAAACAAACAATCAATCAATGAATCAATCGATCAATGAAAACACAAAGAACTTTACTTTTTTTAAAACAATGTTTGGAGCAATTTGGGTTTCTGGGAAACTGCCCACCTACCCCTCCCCTGAGCCAACATTTTGCCCTAAGCGAGAAGTAAGTGTTAATGTTAACTTACGGGAGGGGTAGGTGGGCAGTTTCCCCGAAACCTAAATTGATCCAACGGTTTTGCGCTAACTTTTTGCTTCTCTGTCAAACTCAGAGGCCTTAAGCAAACACGAGACAACCACCAGTAACATGAAAAACAACTGTAGTGTGTTCGTGTTTTCGCAAAGCTTGAATTTCTCTTTGTTTTACGCCGTTACTTTGCAAAAAATAACAGAGAAACGCAACATCCACGCGTTTGGTAGCAATCAGAGTTCTATCACGCTTCATTGTTATGCTTGCCAGTTAGCTGATTGATTTTTGCTTAGTAAAGAATTTGATTGCTCCATTGTATTAAGAATATGGCAGAATTTGTCATCACAACTCCTTTTGATTTACGGTGGACAAGACGAAAACAAATAGTTCTAACCTTACAGAATATGAACATTGCGAAACAATAGCAAGGCGGGTAGAAGCGGGTATTGAAAAAAGAAATGATTAGATAATAAAAACTGCTAAGTGAAGGCATACATATTTTTGCTTAGCATCCATGAAGGAAGTTTTCAGGAAAAATCCATTAAACTCGTTGACAGCAAAAAGCACTCGTAAACTGCAAAAACAAATAAATAACAAATAAACAAACAGATTTCACATAAAATCAACAAGACAGGAAAACAAAAAAGGGTTTTAAAGGCCCCGGGGAACAGCTTTTCAATGCAAAAAAATGCCCGGAATATGTCCCAAATTGGAAGCAGGTGGATATATGGCAAGATTTGAATTGTTTCACACAAGTTTAAAATTTCGTTCCGTACTCGGATCGAACAATCTCTCTTCAGTAACGTGTTCGGGAGGTAACAGTGCAACCCAACAGCATCAAACGCCAAGAGAATGGCCGCGATTACAGCCAAAGAATCCGACGAAAATCAAACTGAAGAGTCAGTAAGCTGATTCGATTTCCCACCCTATCTAAGTAGAAAAGAGCGTGGAGATAATGCGGTCCAAGTTCACAGTACCTGGTATTATTTTTTATTTCCTTGAGTAAGACTCCAACAGCATCTGTCGCGTAATTACCTCTCTGAAGACCCTACATGGAATAGAAGTAAAGAGCCGATTCAGATTTGGACAATGTTTCAACGATGTTTGTGAAAAAGAGAGGTAGCCCAGATTTAGTGCTTTGGACTGCGCATCAGGAAGTCCATGTTCAGGCCATGCCGGGTCATTGTCTTGTGTTCTTAAGGGTGGACCATTAGAAATAACCGAAAGTGGGGTGACAATTCCAGAAAAAAAAAATTTGCAAGGGTAACTTGTCTGAAAATAAAAATTCCTGCAAGCGGTGGCACTGCAAACAAACTTAATTCATGCAGAGGTACTACATCTAAATGCAATTCAAACTCAGGCAATCGTCTATAATCAAGATCCAGCAGTTATTAAAACCAAAAGCAACGACTCAGTAAGAACAATGGCCGGTTCTTGGATTGATGATTCTGTCAAAGACAGTAAATGGACCTACGTCTACTATCAGCAATTATTTTCGCAACGATTACTGAAGAGCTGTTTCCAGTTCAATAGCTGAGATCCCCGAGTGATTGCAACGACTATAACAATCGTGACATGGAAATCAGGCTGTGCTTGAACCGTACAGTGACTAACCTAAAGCCACTTTATGGCGTCAAATTAATATGAGCGTTGTTTTTCTAGTAACTGATCCCGCGCTATCGTAATTAAGGGGGAGGGGGGATAACAAGCATCTGTTCTTTACCAGATCTATTACTCTTGCTAATGGATCTCCAGCTTCAGTTGAGTCTCGCTTTCCAAAGTGGTATTTCTGGCTTGTCTTCAGCTAAAAAAATAATGATAGAGTGGTTTTCGTTTGAGTGTCGTAAAACCAAAACCACAGTAATTACTCTGGCCAATCACATAGGACACAGACAATACATTGAACCAATCAAAACTCGAAGTAATTACATGTGGCTGACACAAAGCGCGGGAAAATGCATGCGAGCGCGTCACAATTGGCTTTGGTTTTACTTCTGATTGGATGAAAAGGTGGCGCGAGTCTTTTAAGCCAATCGCATCGTGTAGAAAGTGCAAAACCAATTACTTTTCGACACTCAAATGAAAACCGCTCTAGTTCCGTAACTCACAAAGTCATCCAAATATAGACACAGTAACAGCCGGTTTCGCTATTTGTCGAGTTCGCTTACTGTTCGCTACATATTATTTAAGACTGTTTCGTTGTATACGTACTGTTACTCAGTTTTAATTCACCTCTGAGAAAATCTTGCTGTTGATCGTCCGACATATTTGAAGCCAGGTAGAAGCTTGTTGTGGTTGGTCAAATCTTCCTGCATGAAACGTTGACATCTGCAATTCGGATTTTCCATGTACCCAGCTAAATACTGCAATGAAATCACAATAAAAAGCGACAAAACACTTCTTGTTTACAAATATAGAAGTAGCAATGCTTCAAACAACTGGTGGTCTCTTTGGTGTTTACAAAGAAAAGAGTGGGACTGAGGTAAGAGTTCTAAATGGGTGCAAAGCAGGATAAATAGGGGAATTTATGCAACAATGGGATCAATTTAAGCTTCCTCCCCTAAGCCAACATTTTTTCCTAAGAGAAAAGTAAGTGATAATGTTGGCTTAGGGGAGGGGTAGGTGGGCAGTTAAACCTGAATTGGTCCCAACAATGCTTAGTATTTTGCAATTGAAAAAGGGAAAGAAAATAAAAAAGATAAAAGGGGTGGGAGAAGGGAACGCAAAGTAGTGGAAGCAGGAGGTTTGGACTCCCCTGTCTCCTGCCCAAGGGTATCACATTGTTAGCTAAAACGTACCACTGGGTACTGGAAGAATAAACCAGCCAGCAAAATAATAATAGTGAATACAATGTATGGGAGGCAGGAAGTTGGACTCCCTGTTTCCTGCCGGGGGAGGGAGACATCACATTATTACTGTAGTCAAAACTTACCACTGGGTACAGGAAGAATAAACCAGCCAGCAGAATAACAATAGTGAATAACATGAGCAAGGGATGAAGATTTACCACATCCATCCATGCCATCTGTTATCAAGTCATGTTAAGAATAATACGAAAACCAAACCAACCACAGGATGTTAGCTTCTCCTAGATTTTTCCTATAATGTTAGCCAAACTCACTCAAAAGCGATACTTTGAAAGTGCAGTTCGTGGTACATGTATATAGATTATTCATTAAAGGTTGCTTTGGGCATTGGAAATTGTACATCAGGCATTTGGGCATAGGGAAGTCACTGCAATGATTTGCTTGAGTGACTGCCAAACAGTAGCTTCCTGGAGTACAATTCGCAATGCCCAAAGCAACCTTTAAATGCATTGCATCAGCTGAGTGTACATATATACTTGGGACAAAAAGTCAGCCAAACCCAACCTCTGTTGATTGCCTAGTCACCAGTGATGCAAATGCAACAGCAAATTGGAGAGGAGAAGGAAAGAAACATTTTCATCAAGACACAGTTGATTCAAGAAACAAATTTTAAAGTATTCTTCACTATGTCTAAAATATTTTTGTTGGAATTTGGGCCACTAAAATTGCCCTGATGATGATGATGATGATGTTGATGATGATGGCAATGGTGACAATGATGAAAATGCAGGTGATGAAAAGTTGCATTTTGATAAAGGGATGAAAAGAACAAATGGTGCTGATGCCTACATTGAGACTAAAGTCACTAATTATCTTAAAAACCGTGAAATATTTGTGAGTCTGGCATTCTCACTTCAACAACAACATAAACTTTATTTTTACTGGAATTTTGAAGAAGCTAGTAAGCTACTTTCACTGATAAGCATAGCAACTCATGGTTCTAAGCCGAAGGGCATGTGCAGTAACAAGAGTTGACTGTATGGGAAAACAAGCTACCGGTACACTTTTAAAAGTACACTGGAGTGTTGCTGGCTTATTCTAAGGTAAAGACTGGGTTAAACTAAGAAGCTGAGTAGCAAAGCTGTGACAACAAGAAGCACACTGCAAGAATAAAAGGGAAGCATATTTATGGTGTAGATGGAGGTTGGAATAAAGGATACAAAAAATAAATTTAGGTGGTGGATGTGTGTCTTGTGAAATTGCTTTCAGGTGATGTAGAACCTCCAGGGCAGGCTTTCGTATCATTAAACTTGTGCTTCCCATCATGTCACACTGATACAGGGAGAGCAAGAAATATTTATTATTTACTGGGTTTGCATCAAGTTAACTCCTCACTGAATACAGTCTCTGTGGTTAAGGATAAAAGGATAACTGTTATCCTTTTTAGATTACATGCCACTTGGCTTGTATTACTACATGTGGAAAACGTCTTCCACGCTATTACATTGCTCTCTGCGCATCTCACCCTCTCAGTAAGAATTTAGTATCTTAACCCTTTAAGCTCCAATATCTACATAGATATTCTCCAGACTGTTCTCTATATATTTCCTTAAAAAATTAGTTGAGAGAGGTTGTTAAAAGATCAAAGCATTTCCACTTGGTGATCAGTTTATTAATTCTCAAGACCTTTTCCACAGATGCCAACCTCCTGAGGTCTAAAAACTGGAGACTCTATCTCTTGCACTATCCCCCCCGAATGTCAACAAATCCCCACCTCAGACCCCCCTAACCACCCAACCCCAGAAATTGATCCAGCCCTTAAAATTATGACAGTCATGGGAATGGCTTAGGACATTATACAAAGCCTTACATGAATACAGTCGGTGACTAATACATGCAAAAACGCCCCAGAAACCATACTATTTTGGAAAAAAGGGGCTAAATTTCAAACTAAAGCACAGAAATACTCAAAACTTAAAGTCAATTTTATGTGGGAGATCGGTGCTGTATCCGGGAGAGTTGGCATATATGCTTTTCTGTTGATTACATATTGATAAAATTTAGGAGAAAATTGATGTTGGTCACTCTTGGGAGCTAAAGGGTTAACCCACCATGAATGTGTTATTTTATTCTTTATGCTCTAATGGTGAGCGATGGTACCAGGTACTCTTAGTCACTGCTTATGGAGTTGTCATGGTTGCCATTCACTTCTAAGCACTGTACCTGTGACTTAAACTTCTTAGTCAGGAAAGGAGAAAGAACTTTCTTTGAAATTTCCTTAGGGACGGTGTAGAATTGACCAACATTGGACACTGTGTGAAGGGCCTGGTAAAAACAAAAACAACAGCAACGACAAAACATAATTACAACATAGTTGATATTGTATAAAGTCACACTGTAAACAGGTATTTGTAACTTAGCCTAAGTCAAAGCAATAATTTAAACTTATAGTAATGTCAAATTCCATATTAATACACTCACTGGGTCAAGTTCTCCGAGATCAACCTCTGGTCCAGCATTTGTGTGAACATCTGTTAAGTTTTGCTCATCATCTGTTTTATCAGCAGACCTGGAATTGCTAACACATCTGAAGAACTCTTTCTATGGTGAAGGAAAAGATAGTGAAGTGCACATGTAACTGTTTTACTGATTTAGAATGTAAAAAAAAAAAGTGTCAGCTTTCTGATCATGTCTTAAGGATGAGTGAAAGTGCAAAAATATACACTCCCCTGTTAACACTTTCAAAGCACACAGTCCTGTTATCTGTGGATACCTCTCAAAGACAACTTAAGAAGTATAAAAGATAAAGCAGTCTTATATTGTCGATTACCAGGAACCAATTTTAGGGAAACATTTCTTTCAGAACACTGGCCATAATCACTTTTTTGAAGGGACTATATAGTGTATGTTTGGTAGGAAACAAGTTAAGGCTACACAGTTCTTGGAAGAGGCAAACACATACTTTTTTTTCATTGTTAGCCTGCAAAGATAATAGGATTTCAACAAGTTAAGTTTTTTTGGTGGGACCACTCCACAGGGAACCTTTGAAATAGTCCTAATACTACAACCAGTTGCAAAAGTACTTGAGACACTGTACCGTATTTTGGCATAAATGGCCTGTCCATGATCTTGTGCTTGTGATCCCCCCTCCACCCCTTATCAAAGTTGCTAGCAATACAAGACCATAATCAAAACTTGGAGGAACAACTTTGAATGGGAGGGAGGAGGGAGGTCAGTATTATATTTTACAGACCTGTGACCAGGAGCGATTTGAAGCAAGAAAGGTCGTTTTTCCGGGGGAGTGTCTCATCATTTTTGCAACTGGTTGTCTGAGTCCTTCATACCCCTATAGCCGTGGTGCACGATTATTAAACGGGGTAAAACGTGGTGCACTCTTAGCACCTAAGGAGGTGGTTATAAAAAACAGTATTTCATTTTTGTCGGTTTGCCTGTTTAAAAATGGCGAGACAAAAACGGCAGTTGTTGGCCCTTTTGTTTATGTGGTAATATGCGAGAAATTGGGCTTTTAAAGGAAGCACGTGGCAAAAGATGCCACACCATCTTAAGTAAGCTGTAACGAAAGGGGTTTTTGGTCCTAAAACGCTACAGAGATGCGAAAAATAATATATTTTCTTCGAACTCGGTTAAAAGATGTTTATTTATGGAAGGAAAGTGACGTAAGATGCCCCGCTAGATCAAGGAGATAGCTTTTTGTTGTTGTTTCCGATAAGTACGTGGACGTGGTTCCTCTTTTATCGCCTGCCATTTACAGGAAAGAAAAGTTACGCTAAAAAGCAGCTGTTGTCGACTTTACTTTACTTAACACAAGTTTGGATTTGTGTTTACTCTTTGGTCGTCTTACGACTTTGTTTCGATTTTAAAGCCCGAGTGTGGCTAGGCATCAGATAATGAAAATTCACGCGCGTATTTCAGTAACATAGTCGCGAGAGCTCGCATATAACGTGGCTTTGTAGTTCTGTACTTGGTAAGGAAATTAATTTCTTTGCAAAAAGGAAGACACTATCCCCAAGAAAAGCAATTTTCCAGCACAGCAATGTCAGCAATTTACGTGCTTCAACGGTCTACACGGTCTACACGGTCTACCATCATATGAGATAAATATATTAATATATTCTATTTCTTACTGTTGCAGAATGGTAGACCGTGGATGATGGTAGACCGTCAGAAAATAGAAATTAACATAGCACACAACTTTTTCTGCTCTCTAGCTCTAACGGACTTTAATAACCATCTTATTTTCACCGTAGTAGATGAAAAAAACTGAACGGTTTTACTTTAACAGCGATGCTGACAAAAAAGTCACGCGGTATACCGATGACATAACGCCATTGCATATCAAATGTCATTGCGTTACAGATACAGGGGTGAAAATGAAGGTTTGGCAGCTTTATTCGCAACTATAGCATCTCTAAATACCAAGAAAAGGAAAATTATGCTGTTATTATGCATTCGTGCTTCTCAGAGTTTAATTACAACGCCGAAACTTTAAGCTATGTCACGGTAGATAACGGCGCATGCGTCACAACAAAACTGAGGCAAAATTTACAAGTCACTACATTCTTAAGCGCTCTTTAAGGCAGTTTGCTATCAATGACAATGATGTATCGGCTCGGAAAAGCAACACAAAGTGCCATTCTATTTCTTTATGTCGCTATAGTCTTCGTTTTGGGAATTTAAGACTTGGAAATCGCTTGTTGAAGTAAGCCTTAAATGAGACAACCAGTTGCAAAAGTACTTGAGACACTGTACCGTATTTTGGCATAAATGGCCTGTCCATGATCTTGTGCTTGTGATCCCCCCTCCACCCCTTATCAAAGTTGCTAGCAATACAAGACCATAATCAAAACTTGGAGGAACAACTTTGAATGGGAGGGAGGAGGGAGGTCAGTATTATATTTTACAGACCTGTGACCAGGAGCGATTTGAAGCAAGAAAGGTCGTTTTTCCGGGGGAGTGTCTCATCATTTTTGCAACTGGTTGTAGCTAGAAAACCCTCTAACCTAGCTGGTATCTTTATTAAAAAGTAATTCTTACCATCATGGGTTTTTGTTTTGTAGGAAACCAATACATGTATCCATTTTCAATCATATGAGTAACTGCAAAAGGTATATTATTATAAATTATACATAAAATGATGCCTTTTTTGACTGTTTATAAATTAATTTTCATTTTGAGACAAGAAATTGAAAATTATGCTCAATACAAAATGAAATTAAGCACCATAAAAAAGAAACATTACTTATAAATGATAATACATGGGACTTTTGTTTACAGATGTTTGGAAATAAAATGGGTTAGGAGATGTTGAAAGGATATGGGAGTGTAGTATTATATTGCAACATCCCATTACTGATGGCTTGCACAAATGATTGCTCTTCACCCCCGCACACCTCAAATACCCTTGTTCCAAAAGCACCTACACTGTAAAAGGTGATAGGACTTTAAAAACCTTGAATTCCAATTCCAGCAAAGCAGTTGTCACACTACATGCATGTACATGTCACACTACATGTCACACTACATGCATGTAGTTACAAGATGACTTGCCTGCACCTTGACCATGTTTGGCCATCTGACACATGTAGTAACATTTCAATGGCAGATTTTCAAATATTTTATCATACATCCTGTAAAGACTTTTTGACAAACAAAGCAAATTTTGGTGGTCTCTACAAATGTAAGACTTTGTATCAATTAATGTCCTAAGCCACATCCATGTGGGGGACTGTGTCTTAGGGGACATTGCATTTTTTATCCGCACCTCCTCCCCCCTCAATGAAAGGCATGATTCCAACAGGCCCTTATCTCTTAAATTATGATTGCTACAGATCCCTTATCTCACCACACAGTATGGAGGGCAGGGTTCCCTCAGGTCTTGATTTAGATCTCTGATTCCCACAGGCCGTGCAGTAAAAATGTTCCAATGACCCTTAGGTCAAATGCTAATTCCAAAACCCTTTAATGTAGTAAAAATGTGAGATTCCAACAGGGTCCTTCTAGACATTATTAAACTATGCCTTCCATAGTGGTGGGGGGGGGGGCATGCAGATAAAAAATGGCATGTTCTGACGGGGAGGTAAGAAGGGGTACATGGTTAATGTTAGGAGAGGGAGCGCAGATTTTAGATCTCCAGAGGTTAGCATCTCTGTTTTCTATCATCACCCTTACTACAGTTCTACAAGGGTGACAGGACCTCAAATCCGCCAACCACTCTCCTTAATCTCCACCCTCAAATAGATTAGCAGCCCAGGTCTCATCACGGGCTACAAAATGTCAGGAAGATGATCAATGGCCAATGAATGTTTAAACTTCCTATACATCAGTGAATTGCATCAATAAACCTCAATCATTGACTTATTTTATAAAAGACACGTAGAAATCACCTGAAAAGATCGCACTTCTTGATCTCAGAACATTCACGACGGCCGCCATTTTGAAGAACTACACGCATGTGTTATGTTAGGCAACCGCTGACAGATCTCACTCACGTCGCGTTTACGTTTTGCATCTCGTTTTACAAGCCCCGTTTTACAGCTTTCTATCCAAAAGAGATGTAATTTTTTACCATTTAGAAATTAAAGGATGCGTAAAAGGGATAGAGAGAAGCATAGGCATCGTAGTAGAAGTAGGTCGCGTTCTCCGAGTCGAAAGAGAAGAAGTCGGTCACGTTCCCGCTCTCCTCGACGTAAACATGATCGACCATCTTCCCCTGTTGCCTCCAAATCAAAGTCATCTAAAGAGAAGAAAAGTATTCCTGATAATAACGACAAGGAATTGAAAAGGTAAGAGATATGCAATTATTTTGGTTTAGGCGAGTAAATTTTCTGTTTACGAATGGTGTACATTATTTATTATTTACTTCGAATGCGCTCTCCCGTGGCAGACGTTTGTTCAAGATCAGCTTTACAAGTAAGCTTAAATTAAGCTTATATTAGCTAGAGACTTAGGCCTGTTTCAAACGTCGTGCTACCGCCGTGCTAAGCTGGCTCGACTGTAGCTTGACTACAGTACGACACTAGCACGACTTGGTATCAGACGTCGAATTTAATTGAGTCGAACAGAACGGCTGTTGCCGAAAACAAAACACAATAATAAAGAAACGGTTCAGCAAACTTTTAAATGTATTCTAATGCATTTGTAATTTATGAATTGAGTTCGGCACGGCGGTAGCACGATGTTTGAAACCAAGTCGAGCTACTGCCGTGTGGCATTGCAAGGCCTGCCGTGCTACTGCCGTCTACATGGCAGTAGTATGACTTGGTTTCAAACGTCGTGCTACTGCCGTGCTAAAGTCAAATTTCATTCGATCAATTGAGTTCGGCACGGCAGTAGCACAACGTTTGAAATGGGCCTTAGATAGCGAAATGAAATTTTCTTTGCGTTAAGCTTATAGGTAAAACGTGAGAAATAGAATAGCTCGTTTGGTCATGGGGTAATGCACCGGATTATACGGAAGAGTGTCAGAGAGCACTGAAGTCTTGATTTCAAACCTAGGCCAGACCACTCATTCATACTGCATTTGCTTAACAGTTAGATGCAGCACTGCTGGTTTTCAGCTGATTTCATGGCAGCCATGTTGCCTGAAAAGATCAAGAAGTGAGATTTGAGTTGAGACCTGACTTTTGTTGACTTGTCAATTAAATACCATTTAGTGTGCGTATTTTGTTTTATATAGACACTGCCTACCTAGACTAGCCTCTGCTATTTGTGGGCAGCAAGAAAATAAAATTGTAAATCTGAATAAACCAATAAATGAATGAAAACTATGTTGACATTTTGTGACTTAGTGGTGGATAAAAGGAATGAAAAATGCATGCTAGCCTTACATAAATGCAGTATACACGTCCATAAATTTTGTGGCTTTTGGCTTGGTCCAGGTCAGAAAAAGTCCTCTCTGATTAGTTGGTTCTGAGATTCTCACTTCATTCCTGATTTTCTGGAGAATAACCAAGCATGATATACATGTATAGAGGATATTACATGGCCGCATGGAGATACGAAATTTCTCTGCGAGTGTTGAAAAATATTTCACTTGTTCGCTCACTCACTTGTGAAATATTTTTTAACAGTCAAAGAGAAATTTTGTATCTCTAAGCGGCCATGTAATGTTTTATTTATTACATAAACACCAATGCAATTCCAAACCATTTCATTTAAAGGTTTTTTTTGCTGTGATAAGCGTGATTTATTTTGTAGCCATAGCAACAGTGATCTTTTCACATGTCATTTTCATGTGTGAAGATATCATGTTTTCGCGTGAAAGTTCACCTGGTATTTCATTGGTGTTTATATAATAAGGTGTAATCTTCACTTTCTGGGTTGGCATACAGTAGTACAGACCATGGAATTCCAGCTTTGCTCAAGTCTTTCATGGAGCAATGTACTTTTGCAATTATGCAGTCATGTTACATATGTGTGAGTGCTGCAGTTCAATTTGATATGAACACACAGCTGATAATGATGTTCATTTACCTTGCAGGAAAGAGAAAGAGCTGCTAAAAGCAATAGAAACCCCTGAAGAAAAACGTGCCAGAAGACTTGCGAAGAAGGTATTAAAATTAAGTTAGCCACAGAGAATATATATCTACAAAATACCAAGTTAGTAAAACCACAGACTCCTGTTAATTTTCCTGATTTATGTGCTAAAAGACCGGACAATATTCTTTATTTAATTTTTTGATGAAGGAACTTTCTTGTGTTTTTTCTTTCATGCTTAGACATGAAAGCGTGACATCACATGTATTTTAAAAGAATATAGGGAACTTAGAGCCTGGTGTTATGGTCTGGGTAGGTGAGGTTAGGTCATACATGGAGTAGAGCAGAGACAAGTGTGCTTTTACAGGGATGTTGATAATAACAGGGAGCCAGGAAAAGTACCCAGCTGTCAATGTGATTTTTGCAGCTGAAAAACATTGCAGTCTTTAAAAAAGTAACCGTTTTTTTTCTCATATTACCAGCCCATCAAATGCCATTTCCCATCTGTTATAAATTTAAGCTACATCCCTGCTTTTATGTACTGTTGTCAATCACAGCTCTCTGTTTGCTCCACAATTCAACCTTTGACTTCTAAAGGAGAAAAATTCACCTGTCCTCTTGTGTCTTGTTTAGACCACTTGGTACCCCTACTTTAAGTTCAGTTTTATCTTCAGGCTCCAGTTGTTCAACTGTTGGATAGTGTTATCCACTGGATAAATCGCTATCCAGTGGATAAGTATTAGGAAATCAATTGCGCTATCCACGGGATAGAGATTTATCCAGTGGATAGTGTTATCCACCTTTCGAACAACTGGGCCCTGGTGATTACAGGTGTGGTGTTCTAGATGTGTGTTCATGAATAGTAATACTTGTATATTTAGCGTACGATTAAAATTCAAAAAATTAAAATTTGGGGGTTTGTTTAGATGTTCCAGTTTTGTGGGTGTTTCAATGACGCGCATGCTGATTCATCTCTTGTATTTTGACTAGCCCTGTGGCTCATCAAAATATTGCATGAGTGGTAATAATACATGTATCCCACAATGCTATGTTGTAAACAATGCTAAAAGATAATATTTTTTGTACCTTTCCTTTTCAAAACAGGAAGCAAAGGAGAGAAAGAAAAGGAAAGAGATGGGATGGGATGATGAATATCTGGTGAGTTGCAATGTGGATGGTAATAATATTACCTGTAAAGTTTAGAATATTAAATGGGACTAAATGTAATTTAGGCAAAGTTAACCTCAAAGCAATGCTGGTCAGCAGTCTTTCCAGCTATACTGGGGGTAGCCCAATGCCTCTAGCATTGGCACCTTGTGACTTATAAATATACGCAGTTGCTTGCTTGCAGTTCCTTGCAAAGTGTTGTTGCAATAGCTGGCTGTTTGCGTGCCAGGATATCTCCTCCTCATGCTAGAGCATTGCCCGGCTCCACCAACTTTGTAGGCACCTATGCCCAAGCTCATCTATTGGTGATGAGTTAATGGGTTTTGTTCTTTGAATTTCGTACATTGTGTATGTTACAGGTCAAAATAAAATTCAGGTTAAAAATTTTAAACCTACATGTACATGTAGGTTGTACATGTATAGCTACCGTACATGTTGATTATTTCCTTCTTCTTGCAGGGATACACTAACACAGATAATCCATTTGGTGATGCCCATTTGCTGGAAAATTTTGTATGGCAAAAGGTAACTCCCTTACACGCATCTGCAGATTGTCATTTTGATACTGTCAGAGCTCTCTTACACTTTAGCTAGTAGACAACATACAGGTATATGCCGTAGTGGCCTCACTCTTACACTTCTACTACCAGAATCAGTTGTGCAGGACTCAAGAGGTTGGGTTGATTCTCAATTTTCTTTGTCTTCTAGGGCTAGGAGACAAAAGAAATTGAGAATCAACCTACAGTGTAGGTTAAATCAAAATTAACCTGAAATCATTTTGAGCAGTAACATGTACTTATTAGTGTTTATGATCACTTACAGAAAAGAGAAAAAGATGGTGAACAACACTTAAAAGAAGAGGAAATACGGAGAAGAGAAAAGCAAAGACAACAAGAAGCAAAAGTAACCACAGTAGATTTAATAAACCTGTTTTTTATTGCAGTGTAATAATAATCATTCAAGTGTTCTTTCTTCTCTTGTTTATTTGTATCAATTTCATGTTTTACCAAATGAAGCCAATTTTTATAGTGCTACCAATTTCCAAGAGACCCTAAAATCTACCCAACCCTGTGTGTGCTACCAGGAACTAATTTATTTTCTTATCAATTGGGACCCAATTTATTGCTCTTGCCTTGTTTGACTTAAATTTCTCTTGGGCTGTCAGGGGTTTTAAGCACCAATGGCCTTCAAAACACATTGGCTACTTTGCTAATGGAAGTCAGCTACCTTTTTCCAGAAAGAAGTTTGAATAACATCGTAAGCAAAAAATATATCATAAAATCTGAATAAAAATGTAATTATGATGTGCTTTCATAAAGGCCCACTGGTTTTACGTTAAGCTTTACTCATGGGAACGCTATACATTTCAGTCAATTTTTCACTGTTTTACACAATTTGTTTGAGTGCAAAAGTATGTAATTTAGTTTTCATCATTTGTTAATTGTTTGTAGGAAGTGATTTCATTACTGATAAATCAAAAGTTGAATGAAAGCTACATTTTCTTGAATGAAAAACATGCTCTTTTGTCCTCAATTTAGTACCAGAATGCTGAAAATCGCATTTGAGGGCTTTAAACTTTTAAAAATTTTCTGGGGAAGCATACCCCCAGACCCCCTCCCCCCAAGAAAGAGGGGACTAACAGCCCCTTGTTGATACAGTCAGTTACCCTATTCAAAACTGCTGGCTACTTCAATTTTTATTGAAACCTGTTTGCTGTGCCCAAATTTCAGTACTTACAGCCTTTAAACTAAGACCCTGTTTACATGGAGTGGGGGACCCCGGTCTAGTGGGGTAAGTTTCTTTTGTTTTGTGTCCCCCAGAACATGAAAACAAAAGAAACCAACCCCACTAGACCGGGGTCCCCCACTCAATGTAAACAGGCCCTAAGTCTTTTTTTCTGTGTATTATGCTTAGGACCTTTTATTGTACGGGCATAAGGGTTTAGGTCTCTTGCATGAAATTGCCCACCTAATTTAGTGTTTATTTCTTCTGGACAGAGAGAACTAGAGAAAGTTAAAAGAAGAAGAGTGGTAAGTATCTATAGCTTTCTAAAGTGAAACATTACCATTCTGAACAGCTTTTTTGGAGTTACACTACATGATAAAGGGTGGTTACAAAAGTTGCATGTAAACTTGAATAGAAGAATAATTATTGAGAAGTAACTTAAACTTCAAGTAATGAGTACTGGATGAAGAAAAATAATAGTTACTGGTCTTTATTATTAATGTGATATCCAACTTCTGGAGAGCAAAAGTTTATAATCTCTATGTCTTTTTTTGTTTTTAGGAAAGAGAACATGAGAAGCAAATGAGAGAACAAGAGAGGGTAAATAAATGAAGTTTATGAAAAATAGTAATAAGATTATTTCAAGCTTATCTTTACCCTCACTAGTAATATTACCTCATTGTTTTTTTAAACTGTTTTTGTACAGTGGTTTACATTGTATATGTATGTTATGTGTACCATTGTGAACACACAAAAAGGGCAATCCATTTTTTGAGCTGCAGTAAAGTTATTTGATGTAAAAAATAATACACTTTATCCATCCGTCTGTTCAGTGAAATTTTTGTGGGAAGTAAAAACATTTTTTTCTTCTGAGATATATTGTTATTTTTGTGAGACAGGAGATTGCTTTCAACTGTTATTTATTAATTTTACTCAAACACTTGCTCCTTCTAAACTCCTGTTAGGAAACCATGCAAAGAGAAAAAGAAGCTAATTCATTCAAAGAATGGGAAGAACAAGAAGATAAGGTACAATTTTATTATAATAACTTGTTACTAAATTTAGAGAACCTTGGATATGTTAATAATACAAAGTTTATAATTGTTATTTTTTTTTAAATTAAATGGCTGAAAATAAATCTGCCAATGCAATGTAATTATTCATCATGGTATGTGTATGTTACAGGTCAAAATTAAATTCAGGTTAAAATTTTTTAACCTACATGTGGGTTGATTTTCTCTTTTTTCTTGTCTTCTAGCCCTAACTATTCATGAATCAGGGCTAGGAGATAAGGGAAATTGAGAATCAACCTAGGTTAAATAATTTAACCTGAATTTAATTTTCGCCTGTAACATGTATAATTTTATAGGGTCCATTTATCATTTGTCTCATCCTCCTCACTAAGTCACTTAGTTATTACATGTATTATGTTTCGAGCATATACAGTGTACTGCAGGTCTTCATCAGGCTGTGGTTCCAGTTATCTCCAACAAGTGGAAAATATGTACAATATTGTGCTATGCAATATTGGATATGAATGCCACTGACTGATAAAGAACAATTATTGGATGAGGCTGAGTATCATCTGAAGAATTATGGAGATCAAGGAGGGTGTCATGCGCCTCGGCCTACGGCCTCGTCTGATGACAACCTCCTCCATCTCCATACAGTGTAATTCTTCAGATGATACAATAGCCAAATTCAATAATAATAATTGTTTTATTATATATTCAAAATAATTCCTTGTTTAAAAACAAGCTAAAATATGCTGACCTCAATAGATGTTAAGTTCATCTTCGATATTGCATGTTCATCGGCAAATTTGGGAGATAAAGGGTTGTTCAGCTCTGCAAATATTCTCCAAATAGCAGATGTTGTCTTTTGAGTTGTTTTTTGCCGTTCTTGCTATGTTTTAGCAAATAGTTTGCTTATTTATTCCTCGTAAATGAGTGATGTTAAGTTCATCTTGATAGTGCATGTTAATTGGCAAATTTAGGTGATAAAAGGTTGTTCAGTTCCGCAAATATTCTTGAAATAGCAGGTGTTGTCCATCAAGTTGTCTTCTTGCTGTTCTTTCTATGTTTTAGCGAATAGTTTGCCTATTTATTCCTCGTGAAATAAGTGAAATGTTCCGCCATTTTCTTACTCACTACTAAAACAACTCAAGGTCTTATCGGTTAACAGTTCAATAATCTGGCATTTTACTGCTCTTTTGATGTCATTTATCACATATCGCAAACTTCTTCCAAATTTGGTTGATAATAGCTGGTTATGATGAATTATGCATAGGAAATCAGAATTTTGCCACCTCTCCTGGAAGTACTGTATTAATTTTGTGAGGCATTTGGTAAAGCATAAACATGCAACAATAATTTATTTAAATTCCTTTGGTTTTAGTGAGGTTATTTCCTTTTCTTTAGTTTCACTTAGAGCAAGCAAAGCTGCGCTCAAAAATTCGCATCCAGGATGGCAGAGGTAGGTGGCGTTGGCTTGTTTAAAATTAACAACAGCATTTAATTTCCCTTCATTAACCAATTTACACACTTTTCTGGTGAAGTTCACATGGATAAGTTTTATAATGGCTTTGTATTTTTCTCACCCTGGGCTTGTCAACTTGTGATATGGTATACCTGCCAACTCTCACGCCTTAGGCGTGAGTCTCACGCCTGCGGGTTGAAAACTTGGATCTCACGCCGGCTCACGCTTGCAGGCCAATTTCTCACGCCTGACTGAAATTATTTCGTTAAATATTTCGTGAGCAACTAGAATAAAGCTTTTAAAGCCATAATATGGCCGTTTCTGGGAACACCAACATCACAACTGCCTTAAAAAATTGACCATGTCAGTCCAAAACTTTCCGATTTTAGAACTATAGTGCTGATGTTATCAACTAACGTCGGTCCTTGTGGATAAGCGTTTTCTCGATAACTTCGCCTTTGGCAGACTTCGGACGTCTTTAGAAGACTTTACACATCTTCAGAAGACTTCGGACTTCTTCGGAAGACTTCAGACTTCTTCAGGAATCTTCGGAAATGATCGTGTTGTCTTCAAAAATCCCAGCACTCCCAGGATAAAAATCTCACGCTTATATTTCAGAAAAAGTTGGCAGGTATAATATGGTGGCAAAGGGGTAGAGAGGAATAGCAATTCACCACTTTAGAAACAAGAAGGGAACTGGAGCTGAAATGTGTCCTGTAGTGTTTTTACTGATCTTTACTGGGGACGCGCTGGTCAGCTATTGGCCAATGTTTTTCCTGTCCCTAGTAACAGTCCCTGAAGTCTTTGCAAAAGTTAACTCAACCCAGTTTTCTTCTCATATATTTTCTTCACAGTGACGACTTTAGTGGAACACATCGTTGCAACATTGTTTCGAATGATTAAAACATGGTTCCAACATTGCAACACTGTGTTGCATTAAAGATCGCCATAGAAAATTGTCCTGTGTAACATCACCTTCTGTGGTGAATGCTGGCAGAGGTTTTTGCCCCTGGAAGATCCAACCATGCTGGCTTGGTCAAGGGTAAATGGCTTGACTCAGGATAGCCCCTGGTCCTCCCGGTTGGGGGTTTGGTGTGGGGCCAGTCACCCCTCACTGTATAACTACTATGCATTCTGGAAACAGACGCTGCCCTGTTTCCCACTTTGGGAAATGGAACCATTATGATGATGTGATCTTAAATAATATTATTACCTTCATTTTTAGCCAAACCCATTGATCTTCTTGCTCAGTATGTAAGTTCAGATGACAATGATCTGGAAATTCAAATGCATGAGCCTTACAGAATTTTAGTGGTGAGTGAAGAAATTAAGTAATGTTTTGTTTTAGTTACATACGAGTACAAAAAACCAGATAACCTATATAAATGGCTTCTTATGTGCATATTGTTATTTTCTATACAATAGGGTTTAACAATAGAAGATCTGGAAGACTTACTTGTTGACATTAAAGTCTACATGGAGTTAGAAGAAGGAAAGAATGCAGAATTTTGGAAGGTAAATATGTATGTGGCAATAGATAAAATTCATTCTTAGGTTAATTAGGTTTTGATTCTGAATTTCCTGCTCCTCTGGGGAATTTTTTGGATTTTAACTTGCTTAAGTCCCCTTTCCTGGGTTTCTGAGTCGTTCAGACAGGATATTGGCCAGTTCCAATATATGGCGGATTATTATTGTCCAAACCAGTAGTATTTAGGGAAAGTTTGCTGCGCTTGCTCTAGAGCTCTTGCAAACACTCTCCAAACTTATTCGCTCCTATTTATTACTAAACCATTTACCAGGTTTCAACTTGGAAAGTCTTTTTATTAAAAATATATTTATTTATGAAAAATCTGACTGATTTCCGTAAAACGGTGGAAACTGGTGTGGATCTGCGCCTGAATATGCTGTAAGTTATAACAATAATAATTTTTATAACAGTGTACATGACATGTCTTGGCAGGATATGACAACTGTTTGTAGTGATGAACTTCAAAAGCTGAAGAAGGAAGACCCCAGATACAGTGGTGAGCTGTAAAAATAATTTGTTTAAAATAATTATTGAACATATTGTTAGTGACAAAAGTAAAAGGACTGAAAATTGTCTTTTGTGCAATTTTTTTGAAAAAAGTCAACGTCCTGCAGTGTAAAGAAAAATCACTACATTGTAATTCTAACAATAACTCTTACAGCTGTAACAATTATTATAAATTAACGTGAACAAAATTTAACTCCTAATAAACTAATGCAAAGTTTTGAAATAATAATTGTTAATTCAGTTTTGTTGCACATTTGTATGTAGAAATTTCCTTTTGCATTCAAAATTACATTGTTAATGTCTTTACAAGGTTTACTACTTGCTTTGCAGACCAAATGGATCGTAGAGAGAGTATAAATGCATCTGTGTATCAAGATATAGCAGGCATTTTAAATGCTAAAACATATAGTCAGCTTATTGCAATGCAGAAACAGATCAACCAGAAGATCAAGAGTGGAGATGCAGTAGATATAGGTAACTATTGATTATGCAAATTGTCTTTATTATATATGGCATACATTAATGTTGTACACTGTAGTTTAATTTTTAGTTGGTTGGAGATTTTTCACCTTGTGCCTACCCATTAGAAGCGGTCCATACTAATTTTGTTAAAAATAACTTTTCAACAGTTTAAGAAAATGTTATTTATTTTCTTGTAGGTATAAAAACGTTAGAGATATTGGCATATAGTTAGAAGTTTATGCATTTTTATGAAAAGTGTAAATAACTTTGAAATCCTATGCCAGATTTTTCCCTAACTTCAGCAAATAGGCCTCACATCTCTCTTATTTTATATTTGCAAGTTTGGAGTCAATTGTGACCATACAATTTGCTAAAAGTTTATTTTGTATAATATTTTATTAATCTTTCTTTTTTAGGTTACTGGGAAACACTGTTGCACCAGATAAAAGCGTTTATGGCCAAAGCCAGGTTGAGGGAATTTCACCAAGTTATGCTCAGAAAAAAGTTAGATGAACTTAAGAAGCAGGTATTAAAGTAATGATGTTTCATCATTACCTTTGCATTATAAGGTATTTGGCTTCTAATAACAATATCTTCTACCAAGAGGCCATTAATGCCTTACTGCTATTGTAGGAGCAGGTTTCTTGACTGACTTGTTGCTAGATTTCCTGTGTTCTACCTAGTACATCTCCTTGCTTGTATCTATATGATTGCAATAAAGAGTCTTGGGCTGATTATGAGTTCTTTTCTGGAAAACATAATCTCAAAACTGATGAACAAATATATTAACAGTATTGCTGACAAAGGGTGGTGTAGTTACCGGTCAAATTTGATTTCAGGTTAGTTCTGACTTAAACTAGGTTGATTCTCAATTTCTATTGTCTCCTAGCCCTTGATGAGAGTCAACCTAGGTTAAATCACAATTAATCGTAAATCAAATTTGACCTGTAACAGATACAAACCATCTAAAATGTTCTATCTCCATCCTTTGTCTTTTACAGAAATCTGAGATGGCCAGTCATTCTACAGATGAAATTCCTTTGTCGGAATCAGAGTCAGACTCAGAACCAGAAAACAAAGAAATGAAATCAGGTGGGAGTGGGAATGAAAAGCAGTCCGGTGATGATGAAACTCCTGAAGACAAAGATGAAGATAATTCCAAAACTGGTGAAGAAGAGGAAACAGAGGCCAGTGTTTATACAGAACAGGATCTCACAGAAGAAAGTAAGTACCTTGGAGGTACCTTCAGGTGCCTTACTTTGTACATTTTACCACTATACATAATTTATGTATAATTATATTGTAATATTTTCAAGCAGTGTGATAAAACAAACATCTCTATTGAGATAGCTTGTCAGAAATATTTTGATAACTCTCAGTCATGTTACATTAGTAAATGGCAAGGCTTGTGCTATTGTGATGGTGTCTTGTGATTTCAATTTGCATCTTATTGCCTAATCCACTAGCACTTTCACTTTTTTTTAGTGTCAATGTATTTAGTATGGAATTACTAATTGGCGACACAATTTTTTGAGTCTCCAACTGGAGACTGGACTGCCATTTTTTGTGGTAATCCGAGCCACACGATGGTCTAGCCACTTGCACAGGGCAAAGGAAATGCCTTCATTTCTCAGTTATTTTAAGACCCTGAGTATTGGTCCAGCCCCGGAAATCATACCCATGACCTCTTGCTCCGCAGTCAAGCCTACTACTGTCTGAGCTTATCCTGCTGCATTTGAAAATCCATTGGAAATCTTGTATATCGTTTTAAAAAAATCCATAGACTGAATAAAAGTAATAAAGGGCTATTTTGTGCTGCTGACAACATACAGAGCCTCTGAAATATTTTGTCAGTTCATTTACAGCAAGTGCTCTATCATGTGAACACTAAAGAAACTGCAGAACAAATATGGCAATTTACTGCATAATAGGCATTTTTTGCTGACATCACCTTGGCACCATATAGTAGAGGGCCAGGGACATGCCTAGGTGTGGTAGCTTAAGAGCAATTGATCAATATATTAGCATATATATACATATATATTTTTATAAGTTTAAAAAAGCCTAAGTCTTTGTTAGCCACCATCAAATGAAATCACAGTCATTATCAACTCTTATCAATAAATGTACCACAGCACTTGGTGTTGGAACTTACACTTTTCTTGTAGCTTGATTCAAAATTATAACTATTAGTAATGATCAAGTTAATTTAAGTAGACTTATCTGTTATTACATGTAATGTCTTTTACTTCATATAGGCTATTCTTCATATGATGCTGGAAATTACAGCCCCAGACTGCTAAAGATTAACGATGTTGAGGAGGTGACATATTACTGTTCATACATATACATATTCACACATAGATTTGGTTTTATAACTTGAAATAGTCACGTTTTGAAGTGGGAGTTTAAAAAATTTTCATTAGTATGCTAGTTGAGTGATAGTGGTTAATAGTTATCATGATGGATTGTTTGTTTGTTTGTTTGTTGTTTTTTTTTGGCAAAAGTTAGTTATATTGACTCTATGAATACATGTACATCATTTGTTTTTAAATTTTAACTTGTACAATTTGGCAGCCAACTGACTAGGCAATCATTGATGAATTAACATTATAGTTTTTGTGTTGTTCGCACATGAATCAAGGGTAAAAAAGGCATACACATAAGAGTCATTAATATTAAATATTTAATAATTAATAATATTTGTACTCTTTTAATAATTATTGTGATACTAGGCAATCAAGCATAAAGGTTATGAGAGAAAAGGAAATTGACCAACAACTGAAGAGGGTTTTGCTTGCATGTTAATTTAATGTTCTTCTTGCCGTTATCACAGGAAATGTATAGGGAACACTGGGGAGAAATACATGTTGATATCATTGTGTAAATAGGGTCTATCAACTTGATACTTAATACTATTTTTGGATAATGATGTTTATTTGTTGGTTATTGTTTTCTTGTTATTAGAATTTGGTAGTTGATCCAACAGAAGACTGGGAGCAGCTTGTGAGTAGGCTTACATGTATCTTAAAGATGATTTAAAAACCCGTAAAAACATTTAAGAGAAATACATTGTACTCACGATCTATCTTCTAATTGGCTAAGATCCTACATTTAATTTTGGAAATCAGCACAACCTACAGATTAGTTGGTTACCTGCTACCTTATTCTCCTTAATTTTTGCGGGTTCTTAAATTCGCGATTTTCACGATTTTAAAAAATTCGCGAACTTAAAGATATGCAAAACATAACGACCGCGAACTTTGATCTCGAGAAATTTAATGGACATAGAAAAATCATGTATTTGTGTTTTCAAAGGTCCTAAACAATTTTTAACACATGGTGTTAGTACAAGGAGCTATCATCTATCAACTTTAAATGTTAATCAGTGTCAAGATTCGCCTCAAGTTCTTCTTCGGCATCTGAGTAATCATCTACGCACAGTTCCTCCAATACATCCTCTGTACAGTCGTCAAATTGACCATCCTGTCCCGGCTCCTTGTAGTGTGTAGTTACGAGTGTCTTGTATCTTTCCATTAATGCCCTGTTCCTTGGTGTATCGCCCATTTCACATATCACCTCAACAGGGACAGCATATTGGTTTTGTTTCAATTGTTGATTAACGTAAAATTTGTGTTAAAAAGAAAAAATAAAGTCACTTAATCGTCAATTTCCAAAATTAAATACCCTGCAAACACAATTTTTCTCCGCTATCACGAAATTAAAGACTCACAAAATGTGCCGAGAAAATTTTCACGAAATTTAAGTCCCGTGAAAATAAAGGAGAATAAGGTAGTAGATAACTGACTAATCTGTAGGTTGCACGTGCAATGCATGATTTCCTAGAGCAATGTCAAATGGGTTCTTTGTGATGGTGTATTGTCATTATTTATTTCAAAACAATGTATAATAAAACAATTATTAGATTCAGTTTTTGTGATATCCAGAATAATCAAGGTCTCAACTAAGTGTTATCAGCCTCGGCCTTCGGCTCAGCTGATAAAACTTACCTTGACGTTGATTATTCTGAATATCACAAAAACCTCCTCCAATTTATTATATTTATTATTATTTACTGTAAGCCACAACATTAAACACAGACTACATGTACATGCACTTGAGTTTTGTAGAGAGGTTGGGAATAATTTTATAAGTGTGATGTTTGCATAGCTGTAAAAAATAATATTATTACAGCCTCTTTTCCAGATCTTTGTAAAAAATATTATGTATGTTGATCAGCTGATAGGTATTAAGCCCATACATACATCAGATTTTCTTAGACTAGTGTTTATATTTGATTTATTTTTTACTCCAGCGTATTGAAAAATTTATTCACATGTTTACAACCTGTTAAAACTTAGGTGTTCAACAAAACGTTCTCTCTTAGCTACATAAACTTATATTATTGCCCCTGAAATATCCAGGATTTACTAACAAAAGACAAAAAAAACATTAAAACCTTTCTTACTGCAAGCTCTGCTAAAAGAAAAAGTATTTTTATTTTAGCAGTTGTTATTAAAGTATGTTGAAACTACTGTATAATCTATTACTAGACTATCAGTCTTCCTTCAATAGAATAATCATTTTAAAATTATTTTATGGGTAAAACTTTCCAGGAAATGTTGCGGCAGGAAGTGTTGAGTGGCGGCACAGCTGACGTGGTAGGTTATTAGCTCTTTTTGCCATGATTGTTTTGATACTTGATCTCAGTTGTTTTCCGTAGATTGAAGATAATTTTATTCATTTTAGTTTAATTTATAGGGGGCAAATGATTTTTATAATTAAAAAACTGTCTGAGTTTAGTACCTGCCATATATCTTCACCTTCATGATCATCATTATTGTCATCATCATCATTATCATCATCATCATCATCATCATCATCATCATCATCATCATCATCATCATCATCATCATCATCATCATCATCATCATCATCATCATCATCATCATCATCATCATCATCATCATCATCATCATTATCATAACCTTTACTTGTGACAATGGAAGGCTCCAAGTATACATTTTTGTTATAATATTCTTATATATTTTTTGCAGTGTGGAATAGTTGTGAATTGTACTCTGTTTTATTTTCTTTGTAAAGGATAAGAGTGTGATCTCAGCAGGAATGGTTGCTAGTGAGGCCAGTAAAGGCATGGGCCCTGATGAGGAGTCATTTAATGTTCCTGTACCTGTTACACAGAAGGTACATTCTAATTTGCCATGTGTCTTAAATTTTAAACAAATAATAAACAATAATTAATGGACAAACTGGAGTGTTTGCTATCAATTTAATACATTCTGACCCAAAATATCATAGTGTGTCTTTGTCAGATATGTAGATTTTATGGGTCAGAATTGACTTCAGGTTAAATTTTTTTATTACCTAGGTTGATCCTCAATACTTCCTTTGTCTACTAGGGCTAGGAGACAATAAGAATCAACCTGGAGTAAATCAAAATTGACCTGAAATCAAATTTGACCAGTAACAAAGACATTCCGAACATTTTTTGGTTGTCTTTCCTTCATATTATGCTTTAATATGGAAAATTGAGTGCCGCAAACATGTTACTGGTTCTATTTATCTGTGGTATTACAAAGGTATGGAGTATAACAATTGTGCCATAAGCGTGAATAATTATTTGCCAAAAAATCTGCTTGTACATAAATAACGGGGAGATTATGACTTTGGGACATTTACATGTTAACCAACACAAAAATATCATAGTTTCGGACAAAAATCCAACAGTGCAAAAATGCATCATCAGGTTAATACTTGTTATTATTTCTTTAATCTATTTTCAGGTTTACCTCTGGGCAGACAAGTACAGACCTAGGAAGCCAAGGTTCTTCAACAGAGTACACACTGTATGTTTTTCACTGTTTTGATTATGCCAACAAGTTTTGATAGCATACTATACTATTTTCTCAGATAAGCTTCACTGTTCGAGCAAAAGCATCCCTTGCCTTCCTCGTCCTTAAAATTACCTACCTATTGTCTCAGTCAGTTACAGTCAGCCTGTTAGCAAGCTGTTGTGTTGGGGTGGAGGAGGGAAGGTCAGGCAAGTCACAGTGTCACTCACGAAGGACCGATTGCATCATCCACACCAATCTACATTTTGAATCATTTTCAAATTTCTTAGACTTGCTTTCAAACTTCTCTCTCCCTAACTATACCTTGCCCCTGAGAGCTGGCTTGTGGGGTAGGTAATATAGTTGCTTGTGGCTGCTATATACATTCCAAACAGCTTGTTCATTGGCCATTTTGGAGTTGCATAGAGAACTGGGGCAAGATTCATTTTTATACTACAGTAATTGTTAAACTAACACCACCATATAAAAGGTCATGTTGAGATTGGTTATTTGACTAAGTTTAGTGCTCTTAGGTTGAACAGGAATCAAGTTATGACTCTTGAAACATGGTTAAAGATCTATACAAACGTCTGTAATTTTGTGACAGCGTCTCCCTAAAGCATGCAAACTCTTAATTTTTTTCACAATTTCTGTGATATTCCTGAAAATGGGCAAACAGTGATTTCGAATTAGTTTTTTCCAAGTAGTAGGTGCATGACGAATTTTACAGTTAACAGAAAAACTGAGTTTAAACTTGAAACTCACCCCAGTTCCCTATGCAACCCCAAAATGGCCACTTATAGTTGTTGTGGTAAAATTTTGACCAGAATAAAGAAGGGTCACTGTAGCAGAAAAGACTTTTTCAAAAATACCATAATACTCTTTGTTGTCCCTCCACAATTTTGCATAAACATTGTTTTCAATTTCTCCTGGGGCAATTTTAGTCCCAAGAGAAACTGAAAACAATGCTTATGCAAAATTGTGGTATTTTTGAAAAAGTCCTGTTATACAGCTCCTTGCCTTTGCAACTGCTTCATTCAACAGATACAGGTAAATGGAAGATTTACAATCTGCTATAAAAATATGTATTGGCTACTTGTTTTCTGGAATAACTCTTAATTTAAAGGACTAACTAGTTTGTGGACTAGTTTCTTTGTAAAAAGGGATTACTTGATATCTTATTTTCTTTCATCTTGTTCTTAATTCATAGGGTTATGAGTGGAATAAATACAATCAAACACATTATGACAGTGACAATCCTCCACCCAAGATAGTACAGGGATACAAGTTTAATGTAAGCTGATGTTTAACCAATTGTTTCACATATCATAACTTACATCTGTTCATGAATTATACTGTTCATTAGTTACTACTGTTTAACTTGAGCCCTTTTTGAAATTGCCCAAGATCAACTTAAGAGTCTAGTTTGTTGAACCTCTATACAGAACATGAGGCCAACTTGTCTACCATCTTGACACTTGTAAAAAGGCAGCTGTTACTCATGTTAATGAGCCCTATTATTGCATTTTCAGATATTTTATCCTGATCTAATTAACAAGAGTGAAGCACCAGAATATTTTTTGGTAACATTTTTTTGTTTCCATCTTTTTAATATTATTATTGGTAATTAACATAAATATTTTTAGCATTCAGTTTTTACACAGTAGATATTTAAAAATTGGACATTGACCATAGCTGGTTTAAGCTAAAATTAACAGTCTTGTCCATGATTCACTTTCAGGAACAAAGTCCTGGAGATTCAAAAGATTTTGCAGTCCTTAGGTTCCATGCAGGGCCACCTTATGAGGTATGCTGGCAAACTTGAAGCCTAAGTGGTAACTCCACTTTGAAAACAATGGGGTTGTAATTTTCACAAACACTTCAAGGAGGTACAGCTGTATCAGAATCTCCTTTTTGCTGGAATTACATTCATTTCCACCCTTCAGAGGTACATGTACCAATTCTTAAACAGAAAAAAAAACTTGCTTTTAGCAGCAATTCTTGGATCCATTCCCTAAAGGATAGCACTACAACTCTAATGGAAGTCATGAGATTGTAGCCCCCTACTCATGCTAAGCTGAAGGTTTGCCTCCCCCCCCCAACAAAAACAATGTACCGCAACCACCTGTGTCCCTACCGACAAGCACCAAAAGTGTTTTTTTTTTTCACGTTAATCTTTTGTTTTTATTAAGATCTTTATTCTACCTTTTGATCAAATTGCAGGACATTGCCTTCAAGATTGTCAACCGAGAGTGGGAATACTCCCATCGCCATGGTTTCCGCTGTCAATTCCAGAACAACATTTTCCAGCTTTGGTTTCATTTCAAGCGATATAGATATCGAAGATAACCGTTACAGTCTGCATTATTATCTTTGTGTAATGCAAGATGTAAAATGTGCAATCTACCTCTGGGAGTTCAGCTGCCCCAAAGAAAAAACCATCTAAGAAATAAAACAGACAAACAAACTTCCCAAGGATATATATGGACCTTTTTTGTGAGTGCTGCTCATCAGTAATGCTCATTGTGGAGTTACATACTGCAGGTTCAAAATGCTTGTGTGTATGAACTCAATGTATATAAAATTTCATTGTCTTTTATAGAAAAGCAAGCTGTCATTCACTCATGTTTGTCATTTTCGTATTCATAATCATCCATGTCTCTGGGGGCAAGACTCATTCCTGACAAGTAAAAAGTTTGTTGCTAGTAACAAAGACTTTGTATTAAAGTTTTTATTTTAACAATACTGATGCTTTATTAACAGTGTTGTAATACAAATTTACAATGTGGTTGAATGTAGCACTCTGATTGATTAATTACACATCATTAGCTGCAGCAGTATATTTTTATTCATTTTCAACACTCATTCAAAGGTCATAGCAATTATCTTTCATTTTACACTATTATAAATTATTGGAGATGCTTCTTTGTCTCTTTCTTTTTTTTTTCTTTTGTCGAAAATTAATGGTAGAAAAGAAATAAAGTAAAATTCATGGCAACTAACAAGAAATAGAATTAATCTGTAACATCGATGATAAGAGGTGTGACAAATTCGCTGTGTCTGATTCCAAGTGAAAATTTGGGTGCAGCGGGTTTGTTGAGTTCCACCTTCTCGGGGCTGTGTGCACCAGGACCGGGCTTCTGTGTTGAGTCTGTAAAATAAAGGAAGCCATGATTAAAACTCTGTAGCAAAACATGCAGTCAACCCCCTTTTCTGATTTTACTTAAAAGGAGAGATTTTCTATATATTTTATTGGATCAAAAGAGACTCCCAATAGGATGTGGTATTACATACTCTCTGACAGGGGTGTCAGAAAGTTTTGAAGTAGATGGCTGGGTTGTCAAAGTAAGCAGCCAGTCCAGGGAATTTTTATGTAAAAAAACATCATCGGTACAAGTAGGCGGCGATTTTCGCCCGCATCCGGCTACTTTTGACAATCCTGCTCTGAGTAGCCTATGGATAGGCTGCAGGAGTATCCCGGTGAGGGACATGTCTCCTCCGCAACTTGTGTTCTGTAGCTTTTTCTTTGTGATATACTCCACTAATCTCACTGGAAGTCACTGATAAAATTTCTTATAATGTTTATCCCTTAACCCATTAAGGCCCCAAGAGTGACCAACATCAATTTTCTCCTAACAACATCAGCACATCATCAGTTAAGGTTATGAGAATTACTAAACTGATTACCAAAGGGATGACTCTTTGATCTTAAACCAAATTCTCTCAACTATTCTTAGAAGAAATGTATGGAGATCAGTCATGAGAATTTGTTTGTAGATCTTGGGGCTTAAAGGGTTGAAAACCTTGAGGTCAGTTTCAAGAAGCCATTATAAGTTAAGGTACATCTTTTTAAAACTAGGCCATCTTGAGGAACAACACTATACCTAGGACACATTTTAACTTAGAAGGTCATGGTGAATGAAAGCAAAACAATGTTAACGTTACCTCCAGGCATGAAGTTTCGCTGTAACATAGAATAGGCAGGGCTTTTTCTCTTATAGGTACTTGGATCCACTGTTTGGTATCTCCCTGGTCCTGGAGTCTTAGCAAGGTCCTCAGAAAATCCACCAGTTTTTGCTCGGCTGGTCATTGAGAAGCAGGCTGAGGAGCCTTTGTTTGGGACTTTTGGGCCAAGAAGTGGTGGCAGGGTGTATGAGTTAGGAGAGGGAGTGGCATCACCTAAAAGCAAAAAAGTAATGTTAACACCCTATTCTCAAGTTTTGTGTAAAGTTGTTAGCTTAATGAGCCTATCTGTGCAATTCAGACAGGCTCCAAGCAAACTTGGGTGTTATTATTGTGGAGTCTTCATTAATAATTTTGGAGATTGAAGTTTTTGTAAGTGAGACTCGAAATGGATTGGCAGATAATTAAACTGAGTTTTTGAAGCTCAGTTATAAATCCAATCTTAGATTAACCACAAATAGAACATGTGAGCTAGTTGTCATGCTTACTAACACTTGATTTGTGCAAAGCATACTTTGAACGAAACAACTTGAGCTGTTGAAAGGTTGCTACACAGGTAGTCTCCAGGATTTTGAGTTTTTATGGATCCCCTGATTGTCCTCAGATGCCAATTTCTTTGTTTTCTTTTATCAAATCAGATGAATTGAGCAGGGCAGGATAGAAGTGAGTATACTTACGTTTTCTGTATCGAGATCTACTGCCCATTGAGTATGCCGGGGCGTGTCTTTCACCCTGCGGATGAACCTTTTCTGGGGAATAGGCTCCTGGCGCTGGAGTTTTGAATGTTGCTGTTGAAGACATTAAACAAAACATATTTTGCAACTTTCTCAATATTATAACTTCTACTGTCAACTCTCTGTAAGATTCATACTATAAAGGTGGCAACTCCGCAAGCATGCAGTTTTAAAAATGGGACAGTTACAAAGAGTGGCAAATTAAGGCCAACTCTAGGTGTTCATTTTAGGGAGGTGTCCATCGTAAAGAGCTGTTCATTGTTAGAGTTGACTGTATATTTATACGACTGCCATTCTTAAATTAATATGTAATGATGGTGAAAGGCAGTCTTCACTTTTTTTCAGTGCAAATCCTTTTTATGTGCCCCATCAGTTTAATTATTTCTACATGAACATGTGATGTGATTTAAAGGACTCCTGCTCCTTGCTGACTTTTTTAATAGGGTGCATTCGATTGATTGTATTCTGGAATAAGAATATGCAAAAGTTTTGTTTTGTAGATCTTGTACTCTTGGACTAAAAATGAGATGAAGGCCGTCTTTGCCTCCGTTAGATCCATCTCTGTATGTATCACCAATGCAGGCTTTGCACTGTACTAGCTAGACCGACATACAAGACTGTTGTTGTCAATTCATCTATCTACCCTGTGAGGCCCTTCGATCATCCTAGACTTCCTGGTATTTAGGAAGATTAAAGGCCCTCTTCTTGCAGGATTTTTTTTTGTAAAATTGAACTCTATTTTACCTTTTTAATTATTAAGACGTAATCCATCAGGAAATTGAGTAATTTTAATTTTCAGTGGACAAAAACCTTGTAGCAGATTAATTTAAGATAATAATATCACATTCTTTTTTACATTTTCCAAGGGCTATAGATGTAATTCGTTATCTGTAATAACACCAAAGAAAATTTCTCATGAGAGCCGGAGAAAATAAATGTCAAATTTCACAAAATGACACCTTACATATGAAATTTTCGGACTTTCACCTGTGTTTTCACAATTCTTGTGAAATTTGACATTTATTTTCTAGGGATCAGGGGCAGATCTAGGGGGAGCGCATGCCCCCCCCCCCCCCCCCCCCCTGAGATGACCTGCGGTTTTCTAATACAACTGGTATTCTGCGCAAAAAAAAAAAACTGTGGTTTATTGGTGTTGAGGTAGAGCAAGAGTCGAGTGCACCCCCTCCTAAAAAAAATCCTGGATCCGCCCCTGGGGATCCCATGAGAAATATATTATTACAGATAACTAATTATTATATCTTTAGCCCTTGAAAAATGTAACAAAAAAATGCAATATTGTTTAAATTATTCTGGTACAAGGTTTTTGTCACAATGAAAATTAAAATTACTCAATTTCCTGATGGATTCCATCTTAATTTTATTCTAAGAGCCTTCCTTAGATTAATTTTTCTTTTTTATTCAAATATTGTCAAAATAATCTACCTATTTGTTCCAGGGAGTATCATTAGCAACATGTTCCTCCATTTTTCCTTTTACAATCTTTTTAATCTCCTGATGTGGCTTAATGTGCCACCAAGCTCCACAAAATGACTTTGAAGTAGGGATATTGATTCTTACGAATTTGCATCTAAAGAAGTCAACAGAGATAATTGAAATAATGGGAGCAGGTGGTTGCATTCATATTGTCATCCAGTGTATTTCTGCATAAGATAATACTATACAAAATCCTACTCATTTCTTTGCCAATAGTTTAACGCAAAATACCACATTATTTTAGCGCTTCAATTTTTTTAATACTTTGCGTGACCTTCAGGTGCTTGTCATTATTAAACCTACCCTGATCTTTTTGCTGCCCAAGGATAGAGTACGCTGGGGTGCCGTCCAATCCTGTTTTAGTTATTCTAGGATCTATTTTATACTGAGGTCCAGGACTGCAGTCATCTTTAAACGCTGAAAGTAAATAATAAAGAACTTTATTCGAAAACAAATAATTCATAAACTGAGGGAAAACCCTTAAGGCGATAAATTGACTTCTAATACGATTCAATGCATCGCTAGTGATAATCGCTTTTGTTGTTTATAGTACTTACTGTTGGGAAGACGTTGTCCAAAGGAGTATGCTGGATTCATGCGTTTTGAAAAGTCGTGCTTTTGAAAGCCCATTGTGGAGGGAAGGCCATATCTGCCCGGTCCGGGTCCTGTTGAGAAAAGAAACAAGCCCTCAGCAATTTAGCGTTTAGCAATTTACCAGCTGTAAAAAATTAAAACTGTAAACATTTCCATCAAATATTGAAATATTCGCCGCAATCGCTCCTCTAATTTTCCCCTTCCTCATGAAATTTGTCTAATTGTTCAATTTATCGTGCTGAATGAAACGCAATTTCGATCTGACAGGTTTATTTTGGATACTTTCTGCCACAAGACGGCAATAAGCTTTCCTAACAGTGAAATCAATTAGCGAATTGCGCATAAAAGTTCACAAATGACACGGGAAATAGCGAGCAGCTGTGTGATTATAAAACACCAGAATAGTTTGTTTAGTGCAAGAGAAAGTAAAGAAAAGCCTCATTTTACTTCCTTTACGATTGATAATGGAAATGATACCGTTTTGAGCATATTGTTTTGCTACGTAGGAGAAAGGGGATTTTAGCTTCAATTGTCACGATCAAGTTTCCACTTCGCACAGGTAGTTATTTTAAGCTACCATACAATGACATCTTAAGTCTAAAAAAGCGAACTATTTTACAGAAATTTCGTCCTTTAAGTAAAATAAGTCTAGACATTTGCAAATATTTTCACAGCCACAAGATCTCATGTATGCAGAAGTGATATAAGCTTAAAGGTATTGAATTGTGGTTGCTTAAATGGTCAAGTGTCTGAAACACGCATGTTTTCGAACGTAGAAGTCGTTCGTTTCAAATCTCCACCCGGAGAACACCTCGTCTACTTTCAAAAGGTCTTTGACAGTAAAGTAAAAAGGCAGACTGATTTTGAATACTTTTAATTACTCCGGAGAGCTTGGTAGGCGCCGCGCCAACTCTCGAACCAACCTTCCTTCTCGATTTACGACTGTTCTCAACTTTCGTCTTACCTCGTTCCCTGGCTGCAATATTGGGTTTCTGCGTTTCTCCTTCCTCGGCCATATTAGAACCAGAAACCAAAGGATATTATTTAGATTTTTACCACTAAAGTATAGCACGCTCTCGCCGCCACGAATTCCGATGCGATCTGCTTTTATCGGTCGCAAACCAAACATCTAAAAACGTCGCTAAGAAGCTGGTTTCCCTGACAACTGACTTCCAGCCCATAGCAACAGGTAAACAAATTCCTCACTTCCGGTCTTTTGGTTTGGGGCTTGGCCAGGCGAGTACAAACATTAACCACAAGGGACTGCAAAGGACCGCAAACGAATATGCCGAAGAACGTAGGATCTATAAAGACCTGATCAGCAAAAATAATAATGTAGACATATTAAATTCTGCAAGCAGAATACTGTAATGCTGATCGTACTACGTGGCCAGTCGAGTTTAGGCGCGGGCAGCGACTGATGAGAAAAAGCAAACTTTAAAAAACACAACAACGACAAATAACTTTCAGAATAATCTTTTTTCTAAAGATTACAACGTCAGAAAACGCAAGATCACTACTAATTTCAAACTAGGACTGGCTCCTGAAAATTATTTCCGTTCCATTATTTCGCGTGCCTCTACTCTATAGTCTCGCGCGGGGTCATTTGCGTGTCTCGCGCGTTTCGCTCGACAAACTAAGGAAAAAGAGAGACTGCTCGTAGTCTAACAAGTGCACTTATTGGTTTAATAATATACACGAAAAAATTACTCAATTCTGACTAGCTGAGAAAGGAGTGCAGTTCTTCTGGGGGTAGCCTGCGAGCAAGCTCTCCTATTTGGGCGAGTCTCGCCAGAACACGCGAGCGAGCGACGAAGCCGCCTCGCTCGCGCGTTCTCGCGAGGCTCACTTCGCTGGCCCAAATAGGAGAGCTTGCTCGCAGGCTATTCTGGGGGTAACACGAGTGCAAACTTGTAAAACGAGTGCAAATTACAAATGGTTTTTGATTGGCTGAAAACACAAAAGAAACGACAAAGAACCAATCAGATTAGAGGTGTTTTAACAACAAATTTAAGAAAATGGCCATGGTTTTCAGCAAACAACGATTTGATTTTGTACGCAAAACAGCAATAGAAAAGTTAAAAATATATACATGTATTCCAAAAACCCGAACACAGTAAAAAGTACGTGTTTCTGGCTAAATGTATTGAAAATTCGGTGCAAAGAGAAAAATACAGTCAACAAAATCGACGAAAATAAGCCAGAGGCACTAAATAAGCTACTTATAACACACTACGCTGAAGTAAACGAGAAATAAAAAGCAAAAACGGTGCATGGCGACTAGACGCAAGCAATGACAGCTACACTTTTCAGGCATTTAAATGAACAAGGATACAAGTTTTCCATGATAACAGTACACCTATTGGTTTTATGGATTTGTTTACCCTGTATCGTACTCGCAATTGACTATTCTCCGAAATTTTCATACAACGTTCGAGAACTATGGTTGATAAATTGTTACACACAGCTGGAGTTCCTGACACAGCTATTTTTTGTGTAACTGGCAAACACTTAATGAAAAAAAACGTGATTACTGATCTGGGAACAGCGCGCGGAGGAGATATTTAAACTTGTTTTGTTCTTTTTACAGATAAGTACTCCATACTGTAGTATTTGGATTGTGTCCAGACAATTTTTAAATTGAACTAAATGGTTAAAACCGTTCAGTTCCACTGCCCAAAATACACCTTGCTTACCCCGTGTGCACTGATTTGCTGTCAATTTCTCCTGGGTAAAACAGTCGCCCCAAGAGAAATTGAAGACAGTAGATAGTTTTCACATGACGTTCCGGCGGCCATATTTGTGTACAAAACAATGAATCGGCGGCCATGTTTGTGTGAAAAAATCCTGTCGGAATTGAACTCTTTTCGCATGCTAAAACTTTCTTTTATTCCACGCAATTTGCAAAGCTGCTGACCAAGTGACTGAAAACGATCTATTTGCGGGGTCAACAAAGTGTATTATGGATGATGTGAAAATGGTGAATGCATGTCTTTTCTAATCACAGGCGTCATAAACTCATCTCTTTGAGCTCTTGATCTTGCACGTGTTTATAGGGTTCATTTGAAAAAATGTAAAAAAAATATATGAATGGAAATTCGCTGTATCTTAGCTTATTGTAAGGATAAGAAATAAAACGCTTGCATGTACAGTTTTATGTCCTTGTATCAATGTTTTGGCGATTTGGCTGGTTTTTCCTCCAGTTTCTTTATGGAGATGAGGATAGACCTTCATAAATTTTAGCCTGCAGAGCAGGCTTATTTTAACAGAAACTCTAAATCCATCAACCTCTCACTTGAAATCAGTTTTTGACTCGTCCTAACTCTCTGGCTCATGACAAGAGATGATGAGTTCATTCTCTCTTGCCCACGACTATGGGTTCCTGTCCCATAAAAATCAAACATTGCGCTGCAAAATACACCGGCTTTGAAGACTACATTAATTTCGAATTTTTACGTTCACAGTTCTATATTAAATAATGCAAATCGCTACGTTATGCAATACCACAAGAAGTATTATTTTAGAAAACATGTAAAACTAACAAACGAGATATCATTATTTTTTGCGCGTTTATGTTTCTCTAAATCATCATTTTAAATTAGGTCAAATTAGTATTTATTCATTTGTTTATTTTTTAACGATCGTTATCTGAAGGGCTGTTTGGGCGGCTTTTGGGTTATAACACCACCAAACCAGGGCCAAACGCTCCGATAGGTAATATTTCCGCCCTATGGTACACAACTCACAAATATGCAAGCAGTCAGGCTAGCATACAAATTCACTGAAAAAATCTCACACTACGGACTAAATTTTTTTTACCTTCTTCTTGCTCCCTGGCTAGAACATATCGAACAGTTTCCTTGCGAAAAAAAGGAAATTAAATTTAATTAATTCAAATGCATTTCATCGGTTTTTGAAACATTGCTTCATTCGTCTTTTTGTTGAAGTTACTCTTTCTCCACGGTGCATGAACGTAGCGAAACTGCATTTTGCTCTTTTAGCTTCTTTTAAAGCAAATATTTTCTAGGACTTCTTCTCCCAGTCCTCCTATTGCGGGTTCTAACTTGCATGATTGATGAATTTAAAGTGCGCTCCAAAACAAGCTAAAAGTGCAAATTAAGACAGCAGTAATCTTTTTTTTTTTCGGGAAAAAAAAAAACGGTGAAAAATTGGCTGCTTTCACTCCTGTGGAGTTAGCCTGTTCCAGGCTCTCAGATAGTGGGGAAGACGCGAAAGTAAAAGGCACGCGAAAAGTTGCCCCTTCTCTCCCCAGTTTTCTCCCGTTTTACTTCAGTCTTCGCGCTTTCTCAACTCACCGGGCCCAACTATCTCGGAGCCTGGAACAGGCTACTGTAGAGTAGGTTGTCAAGTTGAGTGGAATGCAGACTGGTTAAACCTGTAAAACCGGTAATCACTGGTAACCAATCCATATAAATCATTTGCAAAGTCCAAAAACGGCCGGCATTCAAAGCAGTGGCAGAAAGTGAACTTAACTCTGGATACTAGTGAGTATTCGAAGCTTATTGCTATCAGTGTTTCTATTAATTTAATGTCTGTATTGATACCTGTAATCTGAAGAGCCGGCTGGTAATGATTGCCGATTGTAAAGCGGAAAATTCAAATGTTCACTGTAAGATTGTAACAATTATTGAACGAACTTAACGCTTAAACAGCGTATTCGTTCTCTACATTTATCTTGTTTTATCCCTTTTGCAGATCAAAGAAGTAGAACATCTGTGACCTCGATCTCTGAGTAAGTTCATTCTCATAACATATTTTAGTTGCTCACAGTAAATGCTTTTTTGTATTTAAAAACAATTTTTCAAGTTAAGCCGAAAGCTAGAAATCCAAGTCAGCACTTTCACTTTCACAGAGTTTAGTTAGCAAACACGTTATAGAAGAGAACAAAGACGGGAAGGTGTCTGCGTGGTTATCCCCCCCGCCCCGGAAAAAGTATAAGTTCAGGAGCAGAAACATCGCTTTTAAAAAACACTAGCATGCGACGGAAGCGGCATTACTGGTCGACAATCAGTCGTCTCTATCTATGTCCGATTGTATTTTCCTTCATCGTAACTTTAAATAAACCCAAAAAAAGGGTATCAATCGCAAAAGAACTCTCGTTGGGATGGCCAAAAGGAGGCCACTTGATGGAGGTGGTTGCTTAACAGAGGTTTGATTTACATTTCAGTTTTCGAGGTTCATCTGTATTTGTGTAATTCTAGTGATACGCTTTCACAGCACAACGTGTGGTTATGCATGGGGCAGAGAGCCTTAGCGCAGACTGCTGAAAATAGAGTGCGAGATAGACTTAAAGCCACGCGGACGAAAAGGAAAGTGGGAGGGGGGGTTCACACTGTCCAATCTTTCCGGGGTTGTGACAACACTTGATTGAAAATAACGCGAAACCCTGATTAAACCAATTGAGCTGAACTACACGTACTTGTTTTTCTCTATGCATGATTGTCTATTTTTTGGTTTATCTACAATGTTTGGAATAAAAGCAAAGGATGAAATTAAACTTTCGGGTTTCCGTGACCGTACCTAGTACATGGAAAGTGTCTTCCATTGTTTCAATGGGCGTGACATTGGAGTCTCAGATAAACACGTCACGCCAAGATAGCAGTATCTCAATCTGTATTTAATCTCAAAGGGAAAAACCCCTTCCATTGTTTCTGGGTGTCTCAAGATAAGACTCTTACGAAAGAAATGCCAAATTTAGATTGCACAACAGCCTATCTTTCGACGCTTTCGCTATTTTTATTGCCCATAATGCACTTTATTTGTCCCCGAACATTTTGCATAAGCATTGTTTTTAATTTCTCTTAGGACGGTTATGGCTAGTTGCGTCTGGAGCTCCTGGTTTCGTAAAAATTGTTTCCAAGAATGTCGTCAAACTTTTATGTTAGAACCTCTGCGAAGAAATATATTTTTCCTTGTGTAAACCATGTTCTTTTAGTTGTAAGGACCACTGAAAATATGAAGCAGAAATACCGTAAAATTCCGAAAATAAGCCCCG